CCCGCCTTGATTTCCGCCTCCCGCGCCGCCTCGGTTGGTGGAGAAGTATCTTCTTCCACTTCCACTGTCGTTGTCGTTCTGATAGTTGTTGTTATTGTTGTTGTTGAATTGTCCACCTCTTCCCCCATGGCCCCTTCCGCTACCATTGCCGTTTGAGTATCCCGGCGCCCGATCCTGAGGCATCCAAGTCCCGTCATCGCGGTCTCGCATGATCATATCTCTATCCTCAATTCTGGAAGGCGGTCCATTGTTCTCCTTGCCACCTAGGTAGCCACCGTTTTCTCCAGCAAATTTGCGTTTGGCGCCATACCAGCCTCCGTAGTAGCCATTCGTAGTGCCTCCGCGGTTCGAAGGACGCGATTCATAGCGATCGTCTCCTGAGTCTTCTGCTTCGACTTTCAGTGTTTGCTTGTCGCCAACTACGGTCTCGAAAATGAACGCTTTCTCCGCGGGGACCGGTTGCCAATTCTGGATTCTTCCTGCATCGATAGGGCGGGCACCTTTGCGTACTGCTAAAACTACGACAGGTACTGGATCATTGGTGTAGTATTTTTCGGTTTCCGGTACTGGTGCGACCCGTGCGGCCCATATCTTGTTTTCAAATACCGCTGTGCCTGTTACTTGCCACGTAACTTTCTTGCCTTTGCCTCCGACTTTGTCCAGGGTCTGGCGGTTTGGTGGTCTTGGGGCGATGAGGATAGAGTTTGCCATGAGGCGGATGTCGCTAGAGTCAATGAGAGACGGAGGTTGGATATAGGCGAGGGTAAGGAGACGCGCGGAGTCAGTGGGGTTGATGAGGTAGCCGAAGTAGATATACGACGATGTTATCTTCATTCTTGGATACGGAGAGCGTGTAGTGTTCGGGAGACCTTTGGTGACAACTGTGTTGTGCTTGTTTATGAGGGCTTGAATGGAGGACGTTTCGATGACTGGATCGAGGTACGAATTGAGCTCGGTGACTTGGATGACATCTGCTGTGATGGGCTTGCGAGGAGGAGGAGGTTGATCGATGGGATGCGAGAGCAAGGACTTATTGAGCTTCTCGAAGTACTCTCGGAAGTGCTTCACGTGTTTGGGCCTGTCTTCGTAGATCCGAATCTCGTCCGCATGCTTATATGTGAAGACGAGGTGCTTGAGGAACTCGTTCTTAAACTCTGCCGTGGTGACGAAGTGTTGTCCATTGGGTCCGACTTCTGGTTTCAAACATATCAGGTCGAAGTTGAGACCCTTGCTGTCCACAATACGCTTCACCACATCTGCGAAATTCGTCTCGCCACGACCCGTGAGGAGGACCGTGAGGGCATCTTTCTGCTTGATGCTCAGCTCGACGAGTTGGACCTGCAGCTCGTCAATACCAGTAGCACGGCTGTGGACGGGATGTGCCCACAATCGCTTCGTTCCACCAGCTTTTCCAAGCTTTAGCCTCTTCCTTCTCCAGTCCCTCGCCAGTTGCACTTAGAATGCTTGGATCGTGCCACCACCCACCATTAGCGAAGCACTCATATGCCTGCAGGAGGCCAAGCGTAGGTCCGGCCCAAAGCTGTGGATTCGGAAGAGGGCTGGAGAATACTATCCAGATTCATTAGATGCGCAGCAGAAGGGTCTCCTGAAGCAATGCTTACAGGTGTTGTCGAAATCGTAGACATGAAGGTGTTTGATATCCGCAACCGCTACTTTCTATCAGCTTAAAACCGTGATTATTCTCAAGCAGGTATACCTGGTATTTCTTTACTCCTGCATGACCATCTCTTCAGGCTGGTGAGGGAGTACGAAGTTGGTCGAGGAGGAGGCGCCATCTTGTAGTAATACTTTTGCAGCGCAATCTGTGGAAGACGAGAGAAGATCGTTCGTGGAATTATTGTCATTTATACATGATGGCACAGGCATCAATGTGAATTCGGAGAGACTGTCGTATGTAGAATGTTACTTATACATAAGGGCTTTATTATGGCAGATAAGTATCATTCTTTCATGTAGACCACTCTTCATCCGCTCCTTCTCCACCCACACCTCGCCGCCATGGCACAGGGTGTCCACGACAAGAAGCCAGCTGCGCCAGCATCCCAGACTCTACCAGAACACATTGTCACAGCCGGCTCTGCAACATGTGTGATCTGTCTGGAGACCATCTCGGAGCGCGCGGTGGCGCTTCCCTGCAAACACGACTGCTTCGATTTTCCCTGTCTGGGGAATTGGCTCACGAGGCACACCACCTGTCCTTTATGTAAAGGCCAGGTAGAGAGACTCGAATACGAGTTCAATGGTGCAGGAGAATCCAAGATCTTTCATCTACCACCTCCAGAGCCTGACAAGGTTTCATATAGTGGACTTCCTCATCGAAGCGATCGACGTCAGCACTCGCAAAGGCGTGCACGAAGACCGCAATCTTTGAGAGAGGACTGCATTGGTTCGGGAATACAAGATGACCTAGGGCTAGATTGGCGGAAGGATGTATACCGCAACCAGCTGCTTTCGCTACACGTAGGGACCAATTGCATTTCGAGATACCAAGATCTTCAACCGCAAAGCTTTCGGGATGATGGTATACTTCTGTCAAAAGCTAGAAAGTGGATACGCAGAGAATTGCAAGTCTTCGACTTCTTGAATCCTGATTGTGCAGGTGCTGGAGGCGGAAGACGGAAAGCAAATAATGCAGAATTCCTGCTGGAGTACATAGTGGCCATTCTGAAAACCACCGATATCAAAGGCAGCGGTGGTCATGCAGAGGAGCTACTGAAGGACTTTCTTGGGCGAGATAACACACGCATCTTCCTGCATGAATTGCAGGCATGGCTCAGAAGCCCCTATCATCACCTGGCTGATTGGGATAGAGCAGTCCAATACGACATATCCAAGCTTAGTAGGGAGAGGCAGCACCATCACGCGTGAACAGTGGCAGGAGGACAGCTTCAGCATTGTCGTCTTTCTCTCTGCGCTTCCAGTCATGGAAACCGCCGGGTTTTGACGGATAGGTACCTGACTGAGGTCATTCCTCGAACGTTATTACTACCCAACCTTCCCTCGAAGAACATGCTGAGGCTGCCAAACTCCCACGCCGTGTGCTCACGGATCTTGTCCTCCCTACCACAGGAGTTCGCTCTGCAGAAACTGTCTCCCTGCATTCTGTCAATCACTTGCTGTGCTCAGTGCAGCTATTGCCTTCAACTGCAGCCGGTTGCTTAGGTCTGGGAGCGTAACTTTGGCATTCACCTATGGTGTGGCAGGAAGCGCACATGAAATCTTCCCACTTGCCGCAGACAGCCGAACGTTGACAAAATCCCATCATTCCACACAAGCAGTCCCTCTGGTATAGTATGACGCAGGCTTCGCAGGCCCTACACCAGACCCATGTTTTCGATTGACACCTAGTAACAAGATCCCAAGCAAAGTCGCGGTTTGAGGTGAAAAGTTCTCGGAAGAGGGTGAAATACGGTGTCGTGAGGTAATCTGTTTGCGTCTTCCAGATAACGAAATCTCTCAGTTGGTCTGGTGGTTTGGTGGTGCTGTAAACGATCTCGATAGATCTTGTGAACTGTGCTATTGCTGGAGGACTCCGGACATTCATCTTCGCACTTGCTTGGTATGCTTCTAGGCTCAGTTGCTTGAGCCGGGGTACCTCGTACTTCTCGGCCAAACCGTAAACAGCGGCCTCCACACAGAGCGAAATGGTGGGGATCTCTTCTTCATTGTCGTCGCATTTAATCATAGATGCCAGCTGCTTCCGATGTGCATAGTAGTATTCATCGTCGAGCGTTTGCCATTCTTCCGTGCCACGAACGGGATACTGTCTGGTGTACAGGAACAGAAGGAGTCGTGCTACCATTTTTGGGTCATCCTCTGGCAGATCAACTGATTGCTCTATAGCTTCCTGCTTGTCGGTTCAGTACCCTGTGAGGCCAGGAACGAGAGCAATTTCACCTTGAAATTGCCACCGCACAGTCTGAGAAAAAATCCACAGCCTGCCGATATGATGACCCTGTGAACTCTCCATGTGCGGCCCTGGCAGTTTATGGTGAAGTCCGAGAACTGTCCAGATCTGAGATGTCTGCAGCTGTCAGTCGTGGAAATGAAGCCAGTGGCATTTCTATGGACCTACTCCAACATGTTGGCAGCTCTCCTTTATCCCGTTTACACTGTTAAGGAGGCGCGAGTGCTTTTTCACGAATGTATTGCAAGCGGGCAATAAGATACCGAAGAAACAATCAAGCGGTTGAGAACAGGTTGAAAGCTCAGAGTTGCCTGGGAAGATCGGTTCACCGGTGCACAGCGCAAGACTGAGTATGTGGAAGTTTATGTCAAAAACCGGCGGTAACAGGATAGGGATTGGGAGGCAACCGACGGTAGCCGAAGAGTTGCCGAAGAGTTGCGGTGTTCTTTGCATCAAGACAATGAGATTGACTAGTATGAAGTGGCTTGTCTGTAACTGTGAGGACAAGATCTCTCCAGCAGCTCAATACAGCGCTTTGAGGCTCAAAGTGTGAATTCAGGTGCCATGGACTGAAGCCGCTACTGGTTACTGACTCACTGTCATGGCGTTCATAAACTCCTCATCTACTCCATGCCAGTTCACTCCCAGTCCTCGCCCTGGTCATCGTATACAGGACTGTCGCCATCTTTTTTTAGGATTCTCCTCCAGCAGGGTCTCTCCTCCAGCAAACTCTCTCTGTCACCACACAACCTGCATACGAAAGTGCTCCAATCTGGCCGCTTGCCATGATCAATCCAGTCCCAGACCTCGGGGCACTGGCTCCGATGCCCGATTGCTGGCTGGTATGGCTTGAATTCGACATATTTCCTACAACGATAACACCAGAGCGTCTGTCGCAATCCCTTCGCTGCAACATCATATGCAAACTCAGGAGTCGCTACCATCAGTTCTTTGAAATCTTGTCTGCATTGCAACTCCGTCATTTTGTATTGAGCAGTGGTGATGGCTCTTCCCCTCAGCCCAGCTGCCGGTGCAGTCTGGTAAATGATCCTGATTGACGCAATGAATTCGGGAATCATATGTAGGAAACAACGACCCTCCCATTGGCACCATATTCTGTCCATATACGCTCTCTTACATCCTTCATGAGACTCTGGGGCATCTGGTACTTGTCTGCTGCCGCAGCTAATTTGGCTGATTTGGATAGAGTTTCGTTCTCTATATATAGAACTATGCGAAAAGTCGCTGCTTGCGGACGGCCTAGCAACAGGCCCTGACTGGTCTGCCACGGGTCTGCCACGGGGTCTCTATCGGCGCGTTGTAAGGGTGCTGACCGAAATACATGAACAAAATCAGGCGTGCAACGATCAAAGGTTCGTCATCTGAGAGATCGACATGCCCTTTACTAGCTTCCTGTGGCCAGATCATGTCAGCCAGAGCTGTATTCCTTCTCATGCAGATAGATTGGAGGGGTCCTTTTAGACTTTGTGGATAATACGATAGGCAGAAAGAATGGAGGACGGAGTGACGTTACCATGAAAGGTCCGCTGGTCACACGCCTGAAATATGGAGAAACGGCACTGATGATGATACGGTGGACTTTCCACTCGTACTCTTGACAGCGTATAGTGAAATCGGAGTATTCGCCTGAGTGGAGGTATCTGTTTGGCGTCAGGTGACCAACATCTGTGATGCTTGAGAGATCGGCTTACCTGACGAATTCTTCGCTCCAGGGATCTGCATCTGTTGCCATGACCGCTCTTGAGCCACCACCGCCGCGGTATGTGAACGATAGGTAGTGAGTGCTTGACTTCTTGCTGCGAGACTTCGATAATCTTCTGTGGAGTTTGAGGATAGACGAAGAGCCGGCCCTCTTTTCGGTTCCGTAGTCAGCGAATGGAGCCAGAAAGAGAATATTGGATTTTGGTGTTCAAAAAATTGACAGAATGGAAGCCGGTTTGATTTTGGCAACCTGAAGTAAACACTATTGAACGGATGACTTGTGCTGTTGCCACTCAATCAGATGGTCTGCCAGAAACACTTAACAAGACCTGGGTGTTCATAGTGGATTTACGGCAAGGTCTGTAATTTTCAAAGTTTTCTGGATATGTTTTCAGAACCATAACTCAGGATTGTCTGAGCCAGATGTCCCCAGTATGAGCAAAATATCATAACTGTGCATACCTCAAGGAGGAAGGTCTCAGAGATCCACGTCTACTTCAAGCATGTTAACGAAGGAGAGGTTTGCAAATCCTAATCTGCATCCATGTATTCGCAGTCTGTCGGATCATGCATTGTGGCTTTCCTGCAGCCCCCTGTCTTTTCGCAGAGCCAGCAGCTGATACCTGTCCAAGTCCCTGTAGTACAGTCATTATCACCACAGAGTCCTCGCATGCCGCAGCTGCAAAGATTTACAACAGAGCCTTTTCTTTGATATAATTCGCACCAAATAACGACTCTTTTGATATCGATTGCAAGCAGCTCTATTGCATACTCTGGGGTTGAGCCCAGCAAACCGAGAAGCAATTCATCTTGTTCATCAATGTCCGCTAGGCTAGAAGAGCTCCGTAATTAACTCAAGCAGTCCTGGACACTGAATAGTGCAATGTCTCTGAGCCTGCGATCGGTGGCCGATGTTGTTTGATACACCACCTTCACGGAAGTCGCAAAGTCTTCCATTAAACAGTAATCTTCAGATCCCATTGTATGCAACGCTTCAAGTCGACTTATGGCTTGCCCATAATTCTTTTGTGCTTCTGCTGCCAGCTTGGGTACATCAAGTCTGCCGGCAAGTTCGTGCATCCAGGTATCAGTAGCCAAACTCTCTGTGCCTACTGATTCATAGATCTCTCCCTGTTCTTTGTTGATGAAGATGTCCTCTGAATGAAGCAACTCACGAAGAGACTTCATCCACTTCGAGGATGCTACCGTTCTAGCATTTCCTTGGGCCTGTCCTGGTTTCCAGACAGGATAGTATTCGGTGTACAAAAAGAAAATCAGTCGTGCAATCAGTTTAGGATCATCTTCCGGAAAATCCACGGCGCCTTCACCAACCTCCTAGGAGCGTCCTTGTCAGAACAAACGAATTACGATTTCATTCATGCCTTCCTTCAGACTGAAAAACCACTCACCTTAAAGTTGCTCATATACATCCTCCGAAAGAACCCACAGTCAGCACTGATGATGACCTTGTGCACTTTCCACTCATGGCCCTTGCATTTGATGGTGAAGTCGGCAAAGTGACCCGATTCGAGGAAATTGAGGAGCCGTCCATATGGTGCTTCTTCAGAAGTTGCCATTGTAGAGGCTCTGGTTGCAGGTGGTGGTGCTGAGCGGGAAATGAAGTGAAGTGGCGGTTTCAGTGTGTGGAAAAGAGCGCAATAGCCTTTGAGAACGCGAACTGTTCGGCGTAGAGAGACCAGGTAATGCTAATAACCACTCGAATAAGAAAAGAGAGCTTCAAAGCTAGAAGGACATGAAAAACGTTTGACGGGTATGGAGTTGCATTGGAGGACCTTAGTGCTTTGCGAAAAGGTTAGGGTCAGAGGAAAAGAAGAAATGCAAAGGTACCTCAGATACGGTATGCTAGTCTCACACAAACCCTCTTCCACCAGCACAAATTACCAAATTGTCATTTACGCGGTCTGTTTTCCCATTCAATCAAACGACATCCACCTGGCAGGCCACAGTAAGAACAAGAACGTTCGCTCACTGGAACACACCTCCCGCACAGCCCTCGCCCGGCACATTCGCATTCAGGTGGGTCTGAGGTTTTCTTGGTGACAATGAAATCTTGGTGACAATACTTGCATGTAAAGCGTGCCTTTTCAAAATCGATGCTAGCCATATCCCATGCAAAGTCCTTCTCCGACCTGACGATATCTCGAAATTCTTTTTCCAGATCCTTCATCCCATCGTTGTTCATGTGCTCATCTATCGTCTTCATAAACACACGCGCGAGGTAAACGGTAGCCTCCCTCAGAATTTGGTCAGAGTCTTGCTTGGAGCCATAGACAACATCGATGGCATCAAGGAGATCCTCTGCATAGCAGGTATATTCTGTGAAAGTCGGGTCCAGTTCGATCGCTTGTACCACGCACTCTACAAAACGCACACAGCTTGCATGCTGCAGATCTGGGATATCGTACTTCTTGGACATGCCGTGTAGTTTAGCGTGAACAACAAGAGGGTCAGGGAGGTGTTTGGCTGTGCAGCTTTCGTCATTGGGGATGACGAGGGCCTGTCGTCGCTTAGCCTCGCCGAAGACTCCAGCATTGGTGCATTCTTGATAGAGGTCCCAATCTGCGCTGCTTGCATAATAGGTTGGGTTATACAAATAGATGAGCATCCGACCCACGATATCTGGGTTATCATCACAAATCTCGATAGTTGCCTCCGCGGCTTCCTGAAGTTCTGAGTCAAATTGCACATCTCTTTGTCGTTCAGAAGATCGACTCACTTTGAAGTCGCTGGTGCATAGTCTTCTGAAATACCCAGATCGTCCACAGACTATTGCTTTGTGCACATTCCACTTGTGTCTCTGACAGCGGATTGTGAAGTCTGTGAACAGTCCCTGTTCGAAGAGCCTTTTCCTAGCAAGTTAGTGCTTGCACAAACCAACCAGAGCTTCAAGAAAAAATGACTTCGCAGAGGCCTACATGAACGAATCCTTCAAGTACTCTGTAGTTGGAGGCGCCATATTGCAGCCACGAGATGTTGAGACCGTAAAAACGTGCCACTGAATGCTTGATATTGAGGTTGAAGGTGCACTGCAGTTCAGGGAATGGTTGATGGAATTAAGGCAGAGGCAGTCAGAAAACTCCGCACGGCCTGTTACCTGAGTCAACTGTGTTTCTCTCCCACCACCTTTGTCTGCAGAAGTTTAAAAATAAAAGACATAAATGCTACTTTTGTTTTGTTTGCAGAGTCTCTGCATCGGTGCTGGCAGAAACTAGGATTCCATATTGGAGTGATCAGCTCTTGAATGCTGGAGATCGGCCCGATCGACGGGCATGACCAAAAGGGTGTGATAGAACGGGTCGCAAGGCAAAGCTTGTTAGGTGCAAGACTCTAGCTGGCAACTTCATTGAGATCCTGAAAGTCAGGAATCCTTTCTGATATGCTTCTTACAGCACTTACCAAAACGGGTCTTTCCTTGAGATCATTCTTTGAACGCCTGCGAGTGTGATGACCGCCCTCACCTCTTTAACCCTGGCGGGTCAGAGGTATCATGTATCAATATCGAACCAAAGCATACGACCTCAGCAATCTGGATCGTTCCCTCTGACGAACTCTTCTGCTCCTTGGTAAGATTACTTTGCGGCTACTCGGTGGCTGCATGGCATTCGTCCACATTGCATGCTCCTCATCAGGCATACCATGTGAAAGGAAGAGCCCAGATCCTTTTGCAACTCTGCAGTGTCTAGCAGGTTCTTTGTTTCGAATTGAGCACCTAACCGATGGTGATCAGGACTCAGGAATCACTAGCCAAGGACCACGACCTGCGCCACGACGTAGGCTTCCACGGGTGTGACTTCCCTTCATGGGCTGAGAGCAAGAATTGGTGTATCGATACTGGACCCATGCACCTTCTACCAACCACAGCAGAATAAGCAGACATCGCCTCGTCCGGCATCGTCGTTGAACATTTTATAACGGTAGACTTCTGGTGGAACAAGCAATCAAACTGCCATCTGGAAGCTTACCCTCGTCCCAAACTTGTCAGAAGAGCATCCAGATAACAATCGTGCCACACTGCAGGTTCGTGGAGGTTTTCAGACCACATCTCCGATTACAACTTTGACATCATTTGTCCTGCTCCGGTCCGAACAACAACTCCCTCTTCGACTTGCACCTCGTGGCAATCCTCATCAGCAACTCCACTCACAAACTGCGTAACCACGAAGTCGACCCTTTGCCTACCCAGAATCACCATCGGAGCATGCCAAGTTCCCACCCCATATGTGACAGCCTGTCCACCATGGGCCACGAAAGCCTTCATATTGCAAAGATCCGGTGGCTGATAGATCTGGATACTGTTCCCTGATGTCGTCTTCGTTGGCAGTGAATCTAGTAAAGGGGGCGCCACAATAATGAGAAAACTTATGTCTGGGTCATTTGCGGCAACGCCAAGGGGAACGAACGTCTGGGTAGTGAATGGATGTCTCTCTAGGATTCTGACATTGAAATTGCCAACACGATCGAGCTGCCGCGGAAAGCAGGAAAACATGCTCACTAGTGGCCGACCAGGACCGCGGCTCGGGGCATCAGGGTAATTGTTTACAAGTGGAGAGATGGGTGAGTATTTTAGGGCTGTGGCTTGGTTTGCGAGTACTGGATGGGGTTGGTAAGGGGGATGTAGTGGCTGTGGCAACGATGATGATTTGAGAATGCTTGAGCGAGTTGGTGGGAGAGGAGAAGTTATGGCAGTACCAAATGGAGAGAATGCTTTTGGTGTGAGGGGTTCTGGGTTGAGGCAAAGGGTTTGTGAAGGTGCAGGAAGTAATAGAGGCATTCTGAGGAATCATCCCTTGTAATCCTGGTTCCGAAAAGAAAGTGCACCGGGCTAGATGGGTGGAGAGACAATTGCTACAAATGAAGCTCCTGATCTCAACAATATCATCATAGCTTGCAGTCTGAAAAGATTTGACAAAGCCAAGACTCTTAGTCATCATAAACCCGCCTCCACTGCCCATATCTCATACAATCTCTTTTTCACCACCTTCCTGAACTCCTCAATGTCGTCCAAAGTCACAAGCTGTACAAGAAATATTCTTCTGTGCAGTTTAACTCGTAATATCCCATTAGTGGATCAAAAGTGGAATGCTATACCTGCGACTCTCAGCGTTGCCCTCTGACGCACAAACATGTAAAGGATAAGAAATATGAGACGAGTATGAACATAAGTAGTTTCAAGCAGAAAAATGGCTAAAGAGCTCCCTAAGCAAGAAGGGTTACATATTGTATGGGATGGCGTCTGGCAGCGATGGAGTCACTTGGATTGACTTGACTATATCTGCAATATGATTGCTAAACCTGGATCAAACAAGTACACATGTAACCAACAGATTGTCCTTTATCCTTCCTCAAAAAGGCATTCGAACGCCAGACAGAGTTTCTTTCAGAGAGACAAGCAAAAAGTTCACTTCAACATCTCCACTCTCTAACTTTGCCACATACATGGGAGAGGCTAGATACTGGAAGGAGAGATATATCTGCTATGAAAACCGCAGTTTTGCTACCCAGTGGTCTGACCACTAAGCCATTTGTCCGAAGACATTTGTAGGTACGCAACAATAAAATATAAACCTTAGAAATGTGTTTGACTAACTAGAGTAGATAATTGCCCCTTTGAGTTACCAAGCCCTGCCTATATCGTACTCGTGGAGACTTCCATCTGTGTTCTCAGTTGCTTATCTAAGTGGTCATGACGTCCGACCCTGACATGCTTTGAGGATCAAGGTTGCCAGTCCGCTGAAGGCACTACGCCAGTGAAAGCGCCATTAGCGTACAACGAGTTGATCTTCATGCTTCTGCTGATTCCTCCGCCGCATGCAACCTTACCCAACATCCATCCGTACTGGTAGTCAGGCTTAACATGTGCCTGATGACCTCCCTGTTATCCTCATTGACCAACCGATCGAACCTCTGCATCAGCCTGACCGTCACATATCCCGCCTCCGTCAAGGCGAATTGCTGTCCTAAACATATCCTGGGCCCACCATTAAACGGCAAATACTCCCAGCCTACCTTCTTCCCCTCCCATCTTTCCGGCTTAAATTGATTCGCATCCTCACCCCAGATATCCTTCCGACGCTGCATGACGTGGACGAGGTAGTTGACTTCCTGGCCCTCACGGACGTAGACGGGAGAATTCCCGTCGGGACCACCGCCGCGCGGAAGGGTAGTGGTTCGAATGCAACGACGTGAGTTAAGCGGGACGTTAGGGTACAGACGGAGAATCTCGTTGAGTACATGTTGAAGGTAGGTGCAGGATTTGAGGTTGGCGAAGGTTATGTTGCGTGGTGCCGAGTAGGTGCCGAAACGGTCAAGTATGATTGCGCGGAGTTTTTCATAGACCTCTGGGTGGCGAACAAGGGTATAGAAGGTCCATCCTAGAAGACCGGCGGTGGTGTCACGGCCCGCGAGAAGGATGTTGAGGAGCTGGGAGCGGAGTTCTACCGGGTCACGGGTGTGAGCTACAAGCTCCTGGAGGAAGATATACCTGTCTCGCTTGTGGGCGCCAGAGGCGTCTTTCTCTTTCAGAGAGCTAAGGTCAGTGGTAAGTGCTCGATTAACACAGTAATTTGCGAATTCATGGATTCGCCTGCAGCTTTGGTGGAAATTTCTGGGAGAGTGAAGCCAGTAGGCGTCTCCAAGTAGTCCTCTAACCCCGAGCGCCATTGTAGCATTATCCCAGTCCTCTCCAAAAGTACTCCAATCCAGGTCCTCCCCGCTCCAATCTTTCTTCGTATGGGGAAATGACTGATCAGACGATCCGACAAGCTGTGAGTTGACGGATTCTCCAAACAAGAACTCAGTGGCGGAGTCAAGCGTTAGATTGAAGAATAATGGTTGGAGATCAACCTTTGCAGTCATGCCCGAAGCATCAGTGGAAAGACGACGCAGGAGATTCTGCAGATGGACTTCCTCAAGTTCAAGATCTGACACCTGATCTCGCGCAAATTGTGGGCGGAGCAGTGCACGGGAGTGTTCCCTGCCGTTGGATCAACATCGTGCTCTGCTTTGATATAGCCGTCCATGAAACATGATACTTACCATGCTTTTCCGTCCGCGGTAAAGATACCATTCCCAAGCATGGGAAAGAGATTCTTCCTTCTCTGCTCACCAATAGCAAAGTCATTGAATTGAGTAGCCAAAATAGCTTGAATATTCCTCGGATCCATAGTAACAATGCAGTCAGTACCGAGAAGGTATTGTTTCCAGGTAGCGGGACGACCCAATTCTTCGTAAACGTCCAGGAATAGGTCAGGAACACGCTTCTCTTTGTCTGCTTTCAAGATCTTTTGGGCTAGATCAATACCCAAGGGCAGCTTGTGAGGCCTGCGTGGAGGTTCTTTGCAACCCAACCTGGCTGCATTTTGGGCATGACGACGAAATGCAAGGTACGAAGAGAGAAGATAGTAGGAAACGTAAACAAGCAGTAGACCAATTCCCGCGATGATGTACGAATGCATACTTTGAGAGAAGGCAACCTCAGGGCAATTTGCTGGTACAATGGATGAGTAGAAACAGAGCAGTATGCGTAAAAATTGCATGAGTATTGCTGTTGTCCATGGGCTCGATCTCCATATAAAGGGACCCGGGACGTGGAGGACGGGACAATGCGTACATAGTAGTTATGCATGCCATGTTTGACCTCGCTTGGGAAAGGGTCTGGACATGCGAGACACGGAGTATTACATCCGAACATCCCTTGTACATCACTCTAGCTACAGTAGCCACGAGCCACATACTACGGGGGGTCCTGAAGTGATGTTAGCTCAGCGCTAGCATCTTTACATGTAAACCCACTCTGTACAGAACAGCTATAGTCGAAGAAGTGAGCTGTAACGATTTAAATCATCGGGATGGATGCACACAGGATAAGCTTTGAAGCGCCGAATAATAACGTTATGTTGTCGTATCAAGAACTAGCTGCTCTTACACCAGACTAACATTACTTCGGGGCCCCCGTAGTACTGACTTAGCTCTTCTTTCCCTTCGAATCTTCTCCATGAAATTCCGTCCGATTTGATCCCGTGGAGCACACAGCGAGGGTCGGGCGGAGATCTGACGCGCACTGGAGCATCTTCAACATCCAATAAGACCATTGAGGATCATCAGCGGTGTAGCGAGGATGATCCATCACATCGGGTGCTGGACTTCACAGAACACATGCTGGCCAAGGCTGCCCCCGTTGATGTAATTGAGCCATTTTTACAATGCTTCCTGGGCCGTTACATAAACTCGGCCGCCGGTTTTGACAAAAGGGTTATCGAAGTTTACGAGCCCTGCATCTCCTTCTTGGACCTCGGTACAGGAATCCCTGGCGCATGTAATCCTAAGTAGTGCCAAAGCTCTCGACAAATTGGTGCTGCCAGCTTCGTGTTGAACTTGTGTGAAGGTTGCTTGAAGCCCTTGTGGACAACCAATTGTCGTCAGAAGATTAGCCACTCTTTCCACACCAGCAACCTTCTTTCTCCCGGCGCACCAACACGCTGCCACAAGACTTTGGATCTTCCCCACCACCCAAACGGAGGTCTAGGTGAATGCATGCTGTCAAATATCATCAGCCCCGCTCTCAGTACAAGGCACTAGCCACGGCGAGAGCGAAGTCCAGAGTCTCTTTATGCAGGCTTGACGCTCCAGTTGAGCCCTTTCTTTGAAGCTGGCATTGGCGAGTATTTCCTTGGGTCTTAATGGGGGCAACAGTGGAGTGGGACACCTACGTAGTAGAACAGGGTAGATCAAGCCTCGGGTTTTGGATGCGGGTTCTGGTGGATACGAGTCAGAGCACAGAAGACCCGGAGAGCTGAGTTCAGGTCTACTGCAGTCAAAGAAATGAACAACAAAACTTGCACACGATCTGCATTTGAGGGTAAGGACGCTTCGGGGTCTCTATTGACCAGAGTTTCGTCCAGCTCAAAACCAGTATTGGAGGTGAGATTGTAGAATCATTGAGCCTCCACGTTGAGGATCACACCGCCCCCAGCCAGATCAGCCCCAGAATATCTTACAGAGTACTTCCAAGACCTGCTCCATCGAAGCCGCACTTGTCCACATTTTCGAGTTGTGGAAATTACAAGATAACCTAGCGCTGAGCACAAAAGATGCCCGCATGCAGAAAACGGATTGCTGGTTGACGGTCCGAAGAGAAGAGGTTGTGAATGTCAACCTAAGCATCGACAAACCGTTTCATATCTAGCACAGCAAAATCAGCGATGCAAATGAGGTCAAAGGGAATTGTGTCTCACTCTCAAGCCATTGGACGTATTCCCGCTGCTCTTTGTGATCAACATAATCGGGCACAAAGCTTGCCAATTGCTCATTGATTCCTCTCTCGTCAAGATATCTTTCGAGCATGCTCTGCAACTCGGGATCAAGATTTTGAAACGGTGGTCCAGCGTAGATGTTGGCACGCGCGAAATCACTTTCAGGCGTTTCAGCTTCCGCAATCTCAGCTTTCGGATAGTAGTAGACATTCTCAATAATGATAAGGCCGTCTTGCGCGCTCGTCACGATCTGAACTGCTCCCTTGCCTGGCTTCGAGATGGTAACATGCACGGCAGCTGGGTAAGCTGGACTCTGTGCTTGCTCGCCAGCGCCTGCATCCTCGCTATCAGCCAATTCAGGCCGGTCAGCGGGCGCGACGCTATCTTCTGGCGCTACGTTGATATTCCCGTCTGGAGTTCGACCCTGGTTGACAGTTCCCTTGGACTGTGCACCGCCTCTCTGTGGTGTCGTGTCGTCGAATAAATCCTCGTCTTCGAGGGCATTTTCTCCATCCTCCTGGTCCCCATCTTGCTCGTAGTTCATGTCGGCGATCGAAAATTTGACCTTGACGCTGTCGAGATTTAGATCAGCAATAGTCACAAGCATCGGAGGACATCACAAACGTTTCATCGCCAAACTTCTTTGTCAAAATGACCTCTTCATTTCCAGGAATGTCTTTAAGCTACAGCGTGTTCAGTCAGGATCATGGACAACCTCGTAGTGTTGACCAACCTCGAAAGAAGAATTGTCGAGAAACTCCTGTACGCCTGGAGGCAGTTGTTTTGAGTCTCGAGTTTCCTTCTCCAAAGACAGCTCATTTTCAAGCTTTGCGGAAAGCTCTTGATCAACTGGGCCGCCGATATATCAGTCCTTGCTCATCATCCAGACCGCAATATTTCTCACATTCACCAGCTGGTTCTCTTTTTGATATGGAAGTCGAGAATGCGGGATGGGACTGTCTTTGCACAGGCGTCCATGATGACTGCAGAAAGCAGGGCTTTGAGACACAGGAAAGGGGACGCAGCGAGGATGAGGCAGAGGAGCGGAAGAGAGATCGAGGTGCTGTGCGAACAGCGTATCGTATTGAAATCATCTTGTAAGGTCCTCAGGCAGCTCAAGCGAAGGAAACGAGGGAGAAAACGATGTCGATAGTAATGGAAAATGAGCTGTTTGAACCTGGAAGCTTTCATAAAATCTTAGCGTAAACGGAAGCCAAGGAACTAGCGCTGTTCGCTTTGCCGTCTGACACTAATAGCTTCAAGTTGTACTCCGTGCTCGAGTAGTGTTCGGCGAGTAGTGTTTCTCGATCGTGTCTTAAACATAGTCGTTACTGCCATGCTTTGGTCATCGCATAGCAGGCCATCACAAATGCTGGTTAGCCCTCTGCGGTGCGCTCCTATTATGGTATCTGATCCCTCCCAGGATCTGAGTTCACGAGAATCCAACCATAATATGGTGTGAATTGTGTTCTCGGCACATACCAGAAAAATAGCAAAACTGTTTTGGGGAAGAGCATATCCACTCCCATGGCTGCTGAAAGGGTGATAAAGTCACAACCTATCAGAGCCTTGTATGGTCACTAGAACAAATTCGGAGCATAGGTGTGATCCGACTCACAGACTTTCTTTTCCAAGTCTTCATTTCGCTGTTGCTACAACATGCTCCTTGTACCAGGTGCTGAGCAGTTCTTCTATTCTATACAACGCACCAAGCGAGGCCACATCCATATCCGAGCTTCACCCATCCTTACTACTCTTTCTGCCTTCACGTCATTACTTCGTGTCTCCTGTTGAATTCATTTTGACATCTAATCCTTCCTTTCCAATTCTTCCTAATAATTCAGTACTCATCCTCGAGACACCGCAACTCATTCTTTATCCAAGCCAAGATGACACTTGCATTCGAATCACCCGAAGAGAATGCCTTACAGTATGCCAAAAGTTTCATTGTGCAACGAGTGGCCTGAAAGCTAACTGCCAGAAGCCTCCCCGACACTAGTAGGTTCGCGGATTTCACTATCAATTGCGGTGGCTACAGCTGGAAGACCCATCGAGCTATCATTGTCCAAATTTCGGGCTACTTTGCGAGAATGTGCCATGGTGAATATAAGGTGGGTTTTCCTCCAATCTTTCCCATCGAACTACATTGATCTTAAATACAGGAAGCTGTCAACCAGTCTGTTACTCTGAAAGAAGACGATCCTCAGATGGTTGCCAGACTCATAGTCTTTCTTTACAGCTGGACGTACCCGATGACTGGCAAGGACGCGAAGAAGTCAGCGGATAGCGTAAGACGGCTGCTTGCGAGCAATGATCAGGCTTACCAGGATCAAAGCGAGGATGAGAATCTACTTACCTTCCACGCATCCCTCTATGGTGTTGCAGACAAGTTTGAGTGCGAATCACTCAAGGAGAACTGCCAAAAAGCTTACATAAGAGCACTGCATGGAAGCTTCTCGATCCCAGACTTCATCAGCTCCATCAATGTTGTGTACGAAACCACACCAGAGACTGACATAGGGCTGCGAAAGTGGGCTGTTTTTGTCGCATAGGGCTACAAAGCCATGCTTCAGTCTCATCCGAGCTTCAAAGCACTATTCATGTCCAGAACCGATTTCAGCTGGGACCTCGCAACAGCTTATACAGAGGATCGAAAGTATTGGTGCACGGTGTGTAAAGCAGACACTCTGCCTGACTATAAGTGCATCTGCGGGCAAAATGGAATATGCTTAGAAAACGACGAGTGCGCTGATGAAAGAAGTGAATTCTGGTGCCCAGCATGTAAAGATTGGGGGTCGGTTAATCCTGGTTCTTTGTCAGCTGCATGTGACAATCCGAGATCGCGCTTCAAAGTTGCATCAGTGGACGAGGCCCTGGAGCATGCCGTGAAGCAGAGTTAGGATCGGCCGCGCCCTGAAGTCCAAGAGCAACTGGAGTGACCGTGGCCAATTGTTGGTGTCTTACCATATTGCTCGACCGTCGACCCTCATAAATTGCAAAGATTGATCGGAAGTGGCTACAGGCATCATCTCACAATATGATTGCATTATCCCTTTCCCCTCAGATTCTCGATTACATCCTTACTGATTCTACCGGGACGGCTGTGTCAAAGCCGAATCGGAAACTACTTGCAGCTTCCATCTTCTTCCATTCTTCCTTCACACCGGCCGTCCATGTTTCACTTCCATGCCGATCAACCTCGGCCAAGAATTTCACCATCGCAACCGCATCTTGCCTCTTCTCCTGGTTTCTCAAGCATTCTTTCAAGGACATATGCGATGGGAAGCGCGGCACAATCACCCTCGACAGATTTAGGGTCAGGTTCGCAAACCTAGTCCACGCACTAGCAGACCACGATTCTTGTGGCGCGGCAGGATCTGAGGTCGAGAGCAGAGCAGGTTTAGTCATGGTAGTGAACGCTGATGAGGTAGAATATGCGATAGCACAATCAAATTCCTTCTGCAAATCCCTCAGTTTCGTGATAACTTCGGCTGTTCGTGAAGGCTTGTCTCTAGGCTGATCTGGATGCTGAAAGCGAGCAGTCTCTGAGTCATATCGATCTTGCCAGTAGAACGCGCTTGCTGAGTCCAAGACTAGGAGACCAAGCCGTCTACTCATCGATTGGTGAGCTGTAGCATCAAGTAGATAGGATGGCAAGGAGTCCAAAGTCTCAATTAAATGTCGTGAAGACTGTGGCCGGAAAACATGGACATGATTTAAGGCATCCAGGACGAGGCTTTCTCTATCGTCCTCGCCTCCTATAGAACCCTCATTGGCAGTAGGAGAGGGGACGGTGCCAACTACCACCTCTCGTAATCTCGCTGCGGAGAATCGTCCATCGTTATCAAACCAAACCACGGCTGTGCCCTGACCACCATGATTGCTAGGAAGAACAGCAAGCGCCGTAATCCAGTAGAGCAGATTAGTTTTACCGGAGGCAGGTAGCGAGGATGTCAACTCGATGATTACGGGCATCCATCTGGAGGCTTGACTGTTCAAAAAAGTCGAATGTGTTGCCGGATCCTCGTCTTGTCCATGCCTATCGACATCATCCTCATGGTGAGGAGATGAGCAACGAGGCGCTGCGAGACGCTGCGCCGGAGCACAGAACACCTCGAGCAAGCGATCGAGAGGCGGGATGCCTAGCTTCGGCTTAGGAGGATACAGAAGATGGCGTAGCTCAGATAGAAACTGTATCCAACGATCAATCCCGAACCAACGAACAGCACTTCAATCTCCCCCCATTGGGAAAATACAGTCACAACCGCCATGCAGTGCTGCAAGTGGAGAAAAATTGGAGAAACGAAAACCTTGCACATTGACACTCACCTCATCAAGACCCTCCTCTCCCACCCCAGCCAGCAGTCTCGCACCCTCCGCTTCCGCAGACATGTGCACGTCAAGATCGTGACGCAAAGACCTCGGTCTCGCTCTCGCAAGCTCCTCGAGCGAAAATTCGTCGCAAAAACGTGATGCGATGGCTCCGCCCGAACAGCGGTTTCCTGTCTCCACTCTCCCGCAACGCGTCCACGGCCAGCTGGACACAAGCGGCAACCTGCGGAGCCGGAAGCTGCCTCGAGATTTCGACCTGGAGAGGGATTGCCAATTGATGGAGCTGGTGCAGTACTCGTGCACGCCGTGGCAGGATATGATATCGCTACAGCTGGAGGGGAAACAGCAGCAGTGTTGGCCCGTGGTCAGGTTGTTTAGGAGGTAGGATGCCCCATCGCACACGCAGCTGTGTAGTATAGTGTTTTTGGGGTGGCGCTTAGTTTGGGAATGAATCAGATGCTAATCAGTGGGACTACTAGATGTGGACAGGGAGAGAAGGTGTTTCATGTGGAGACGACAGCTTGGGAGGGTGAAGGGGCATGGCATGGTAAACCGTCAATCAAGAGGTCGAACACCACAGAGTCCGCCACTGTAGTGACATCGCGAGATCTATTCGCCAATTACGGAAGCTATTTCTGGAGCAAGCAAGGCTGAAAATGCGCATTTGGTATTATGTTCCCGGGCCACCAGCTTTCACGACCCAGCCTTGTACAGCAACCTCTTGTGCGGTTATGGGAAGTTCATATCCAGATCATCATCCGTGGGTTGAGTACGCGAATCACCAGCTCTCTGCTTGCCTCGAGCTTTTTCGGACAGAGCATGGTGCTGTGTTCCAACTTTCGCTACCATGTGAGATGGCTCGATCCTTTGGGTCTTCCGCCGGCTCGTGTCCGGCATCCAATATTTTCGCTCACTATTCACAATCGGCGCCACTTCAAAGCCTTCGCCTACTGCAGCTGTGGTACCAGCCAGACCTTTCCCTCTCTCGGCCTTTGCCAGCTCCTTCATCGTCTCCTCGAACATCCCCTCCATGGTAAGCTCCACCTTCTTTTGGCGTCCTCCTCGCTGTGCTGCAGCAGTCGTACGATCTGGTGATGTCGACAAATCCAGTTTTCCTTCACCTCTCACCGCAGTGGCCAGCTTTCTCAATGCCTGTTCTCCCAATCTTCCTTCCTCGGTTGCAAGCTCCCTTACCCTTCTTGGATCTCTCTCTCGGGGCGGAAGGATTGGTGTATCGCGAAAGGTATGCGGTGAAGGAAACGCTGGGAAAGTTGATGGAATATGCTGATCTCTTCGCCTCTCTTCTTTCCCATTCAGATCAGATCCGAGGATTGATTCAGGCAGCTCACGTGTGTCGAAGAAATCATCCGGGGGAGGCGTTGGCAGTAAGGATATTGAGGGTGGAGGTTTCGGTCTCGACCGTGGCGGTAACTGATCTTCTGGGGTAGGAACCTGTACAGCTTGAAACGCACTCTCGAGGTCTGTTGCAATCGGCGCTGTGCGACGGGCAGCAAGCATAGAACGGCGAATATATTTACATAGAGTGAGAACGTCTTTGCTCAAATGTTAGCTAGAAATTTGAGGTGGCTCGTCGTTACGTCGGCCTCTCATACATTCTTCAACACAACCTCTAAACATCTCCAGTGCCCAGGTATCAATGGAGGTATTCGTGAATCCATCTCTAGCAGCAACATGTTCACATACAGAAACGATCGAATGGTCGAGAAAATCATCAACTTGACTTCGCCCAACTGGTTTCGGACCTTGCTCTACGTCTGTCTCTTCTGCCTGCTCAAGGAGAGGTACTTGACCGATCAGCGCCGGCTCACTCCCTGGTATGCTCTGCTGTTTAAACTGAAGGGTATGATGTCGATGGTAGAACTGTCGCTGCTTCTTCGAAGGGTGCGCATCGTAGTTGGCTATGGACAGCGGTCTTTTCTGAGGTGAAGTTGGTGTCGCAATCACTGGTGCCATATTTACTCTGTCGCAACTGTGGTATCAGTTCGTCGAAAGCTGTGGGTCAGGCATGTCTCCAGCTGTCCAAGGAAATGTTATCGGGTTGGTTAATGGAAGGTTGCCGTCGCAAGAACGCCCACATGTGCCGCAGCCAAGACCGAGATGGCTAGCGCAGCTGCGATCATCGGTCGCTTGAGGTGAGCTTGAACCTCACTTTACCATCTGCAACAATTGGCCTTGCAAGCCACGAAACAATACAACGAAGCTTCTTGGTGGTGGACAACAGTCGCAACTATTATTCCGGTCATCGTGATACCGTGCCCGACCAAAAACCAACACACAATGGCTATCAAACCAATCACAGGAGTACGGTTCCACCCTTCGATGACACTGGATATTCTCAGTGGAACAATATTTGGCCATTATGCCTGTTTTGCGTGGCATCCGATGATACTGACAACCTCATAGATGCTCCGAAGAGGCCTGGTGCTGGATCTCAGTATCGCCGGCGGTATGTCAATACCATCCATGCTTATATCAGTCTATCGAAGGATCAGGAATTTGCAAGCCCAGCTCCATCTCTCCACTTGAAACCTACCAGAGCCTCCCTGGTCTGTTTGACTAATTTCTATTCCGCTTTCATACAGGCCTCGGCACAGCATTCGGCTACCTATGGTGGTACGGCTTCCATATCCCCCGCGTCCGGAAACGAGATCAATTCTACGCCAAGCTCGAGGATCAAAGAGCTAGGGATGCTGGTGTCCAGTAGAGCTGTGAAGGGGATGTATGGCTGTTAAGGACATGGGGGCGGTGTGAGTCCGCTAGACTCGAAGTGTCAGGAGAAGCTGGTGGCACGCTGCAAAAAGCAAGAACACCTGGTACGCAGAGAGAGCGGGAGCTTGTACATATGTGATATGGCGCCGCACGGAGAATCAACGTATTCAGCGATCAACGGACTAGGGTGCGGCTCGAAACATACTCGCATCATCTACTGAGGCGTCTCATCTTGGCTCATACATTAATGTCCACCACCAGGTCGAATTCTACATTTCCATATCGCAGCAGTGTCTAACAGGTTAGACATCTTACTTCAACAGAAAACCCCTCCAACCTTCATCAGCTTACCCAAGCATACAGCTATCATCTAACCCAATCCTCTGAAGAACCGGTGTCCTGGCAATCAGACTCATTCCCTGCTTGGTCAAGCGAGTGGCCGGGCCTCTATCCACAACTGCTTCCATGAAGCAAGGCTACCCCTCCTTATCCTACTTACCGGTAACCCTCTGCCCTGGTTTCCACGCCCTGGAATCGACAAACAGGCTCGTACGTTGGGATAATGTTAGCTGGTTGGGTAGGTGGTAATTTTCGATCATTACTGCAATCTCTATTACAGTATGTAGCAGGTGTGGGGTGTGTGGGGTCCTGTTGCTTGAAGGTTTCATTCTCAACCGGGAAAACAGGGTAATCTCTATAGTAAGCTTTGTCTTGTGCTATAAGTACTACTAGTAGTTATTTCCAACTTTATTTGCGCCAGAGCGGAGAAGAAAGATTAATAGGGGAGGTATAAAACACTTCCACCTGGAGAGCAAAAACATCTTGAATATTAAGCAAGCCGCTCCAATCGTTGCCATTCACAGAAATAGTTTAGTATCTCACAAGCAATCCAGATTCCATCTTGCAAAGCATTTGTAAGGCTAGCCGATGCCCCCCTTTCTCAAGCTCTGCTAGCAGAAACCGCCGCAAATCTTTTCATAGCCTACCATACTTATCGCTTACACCACCCAAGCCCTGCTGTACAGCCTCACTACCCAGTCCCGGGGCAACCTGCTCCAACTCATCTTCGCCCATGAGAGGATTCTTTTTCAATGAATCTGCAAGGACATAGTAGCGTCAGTAAAGCTTTGCACAACATTGCCATGCCCGATCCGGATCAGAACAGCTCCCACCAGCACACACTTAGATATTGAAATTGTCCAACCAGACCAATGAATACAGAATCTGACTCACCCTTCAAAAACGCCTCCGCTTTCTCGCTACCCACCTTACCAAGTGCCTCAGCCTCAGCCTTTGCTTGACCGGCGTAGTACTTCTTGGCTCCCCAACGTCCGATATCATCCGCATACCCACTGAAGTAGATCCCAGCTGCCACGACAGCCAACAGGGTCACGATGACTGCCATCGTGATGCCGAATCGCGAGAAATTGGAGAGGCCATGCTCGGCATCAGAGGCTAGCTTCGAGGCTGTAGCGGTGGCGGCAGAGGCCTTGTCGCCCAGGGTAGAGGAGGCACGGTCACTGGCCGACGAAATAGATGCCGCAACCGAAGAGGCTGCTGTCGAGGCTGTATCAGAAGCGACGGAGGCGGCGGAGGAAACTGATCCCGAGACGGAGGAGGCGCCTTCTGAGGCCCGGTCAGCGGCGGCTGATGCTGCTGAGGAGACTGTGCCGGAGATGGAGGAGGCAGCATTTGAGGCTGTGTCAGAGGCGGCGGAGGCAGCAGATGGAGCGGATTTCGATGCCGATGAGGCTACTGTTGCAGCTGAGCCAGATATGGAGGAGGCGGCGGAGGAGATGGCGGAGGATGCTGACGAGGACTTGGCCATGGCGAGTGCTGGTGATGTGTCTAATTTGAGAGGTGAGAGGGACTGTTCACCTGTCTGGTATTTTGTTGTGAAAAAGCGAAGCAGGCAGGAGGTGAAGGATCAGGAAGACCTCCGGGTAACGGTGAAGTAAAGACGAAGAAATCTCGGCTGACACGAAGAGTGACCGAAGAGGTGCAAAGGTACTATCCCTTCTTACCGCTGGTTGTTCAGGTACAGCTTCACCGATTGCAATGATAATCATCACAGATTAATATCCAGAAAATAGTCAGAGGAGCGGCACTGAAAAACCTGGAGCAATGAAATCGATGCGCATCAGACAGATATATGTTAACCAGGAACCAGATCCGAAGAGGTCCACATGTCATCAACTTTGCCCCAGAAATGACATCAGCCAGACCTCTTACCGCTCCCCAGATACCGTAAAAACAGGATCGAGCTCATTTGGCCACTACGCTGTAGGCCAGACAAGCTACTCAGGCTTGACCCGAGAGGACGGAACAGAATCAAGAAGTTACGCCATCAAGTGTTACATAACTAGGAGTTGGACAAACTTCATGGGACCCGCGTTGATGCCATGCAATGTCAGGCTTGGCTGCAGAGAGCAGAAGAAAGAACAGCAGGAATAGCCTGGTCTGTCGCGTGAGTGACATGGGAAAAGCCTGTTTTTTGGTATATTCGACTACAAAAATTTTCTGGGAGCAAGCATGCGCCCGCCAAGCTTGTTCGAATGCGGCGAAATGATGCGGCTGTGCAGGATTTCGAATTGCAATAAAGGGGGATTTACCATCATACTCTCGTGCAATCGATGGTGACAGGAATGTGGATGGCTTGATTGAGCACATAGGCTTGTTACAATGTCAGAGGAACCGCTGTATGATAGAGGAGAAGATTGATTGGAATTATGCTGTAATCATGACAGGCGTTGAGAGAGCTTCCTAGCCCGGAGATGTGCCCAGTGCTGACTGCCATGCCTGTAAAATCCCGAAGGACCGAACATATCTAAAGCGGAGTCGTCAGCTTGAGGGATCCACCCAGTAGTCAGAAGAATATGCGCCTTTGCCATGCTTGCAATTCCCAACACCCAATATCGTAGCGTTGGCCATCATTGCAAATCATGGCGCTTCATGCGAGAATTAAACGAGAGGGATGGCTTCGCTCTCGACCGAGGTCCGCTAGGATTTCATCGACCGTCCCATATCACCCATCCCTCCTCGTAATGTCTCTTTCTTGATATCCAGGCGGCTTGTTGATGGAGCCTGCTTCTCGTTCTCTCAGTAAATCATTCATATCCAGGTCGCCCCTCGTCCTCCGATCGGGCCAACCCCTCGTCTCCCTCGTCGATGGACCCCTATCTAACGTCCTTTCTGGCTCTGCCACCACATAAGGTGGCGGAACCTCCTCATCAAGATCCACTCTACTTCTGCTGCCCGTACCGGAGGTCCCTGGTCTTCTCGTACCCGCAGAGTCCATTCTTGCATGATGACTGAAAGGCCCAGCACGCATGTTTCTCCATACCCGGTTGTTGGCTTGTACGGCTGAGAGGTCTCTGCTTTGAGAAGGATGATGTGTATGGAATGCTTGGAAGCGATTGCGTGGAAAGGTGGAGGCGGCCAAGTTTCGTCGCTTGCGTCGGTAGAGCAAGCCAAGGAGGAGGAAGACAACCGCGAAGATGACGACTATATAGAGATAGTTACTCCAGGCACGACTGTTCCGGTCGGTGTCATCAGAGGACGCGGGAGCTGTGGGTACAGATGAGACTACGGGGCCTGTGGGCGAAGCAGTCTGGTAGATGCGGGAGCCTATCTCGGATGCAAATGGTGTTGGAATTGCCTGAGGAGGCATATCGAATCGGCGTTGATGTGATAGGAATAATGAATTATCTTGTGACAAAGTGAACCTCGGGATGCGTTGTTGCTTCGGAGCAAGTTCCTTTTGTGCCACTCGTTACCTCCCTTCGTACGCCCGGCGGCCGAGCAAGGTATGGTAGATGCTTATCAAACGCTGTTGCAAAGTTGTGTCTGCTCAGGAATGGCAAAACTTCTCATTGTCACCTCGACTCGATGATGGTCAGAACGTGGATAGATGGATGCGCAAGGGCAGCTGAGCAAGGAGTAAATCTTGTTTTGTCATCACTTTTCACTTTGGACCTTGCTGCGGTCGACGCAGTACGCGGCCATTAAACCTTGGCTTGCCACTGTCAATCATTACTACTTAAGTTATCTTATCGGTAACCTATTTTGGTGATGCGGGCTCATCAGCCCAGAGAAGCCGGTCGGGCAATTGAATAGTTATAGAGCACTATACTACGCTACCCCACCACCTTCTTCTGCTGAATTCCCACTTTATATTGTGCTTTCTGTGAAGTCATCTATCCAGTGTCATCCGAACGCGCCATATCACCTTTGGAAACTTCCTGCGGGTCATCAGTCTCAATCACAGTTTCTCAAACGTTGGCGTCCTCTTTTTTAGCCCAGCACCCATAGCTCTCTCTACATCGCTGCTCTGTAGCATGGCCGAATTCCACACCGCAGTGTAGCTCAGGTTATCCTCCACGGTTCTGCCCTTGGTCGCATCGAGCACATTCTTCGTTCCTTGCACTGCCACGGGACTCTTGCCCGCAATCGTAGTGGCGATCTCCAGGCCCTCCCTAACCACGTCTTCCTTGTTTGGCAACACTTTGCTGACAAACCCAACCCGATATGCCTCTTCAGCGTCGAACTCACGCGCACTGAGACACACCTCCTTGACCCAGCTTGTCAATCCACCCATCACCTTCGGCAGCCTACTCAATGTCCCAACGTCAGCTGCCAGTCCGATGTCAACTTCCTTGACACAGAACCTGGTACACTTGGCGCATAACCGGATATCGCAGGCTGTTCCGATATCTATTGCGAGACCATATGCATAACCATGCATCAGGGCAATAACAGGCTTCTGACATGATGACAGAGCAGATACGCAAGATTGCAGCTCAAGGATGTAGTGGCGGAGGGAATTGGCCTTCCGGGACGGATCTGCTGCTTGAGCTTGTATCGGATCAGAGATGGCTGCTGACTTAACATCTAGGCCTGATGGAATTTTAGATTCAGTATCCATGACACATGAAGGCTATTCAATCCCCAGAAACAGACTGCGCGCGTACCTGCAGTAAACGCTCTCGGCCCGGCTCCAGAGATGAGCACACATCTCACGCCCGGGTCGAACGAAAGATAATCAAACACAGCTCTCATTTCGTGCCACATAGGACCATGGAAAGCATTCAGCTTGTCGGGTCTATTGATTTCGACATGCGCAACGTACTCCGCTGGCATGGAGAGGTGGAAGAACTTGAACTCTGGCAGCGCGGGTGCCATTTTTAGCAACTGGAAATCGAAGTGCACCGGGTTCGGGGTGTTACCGATATAATATAAAGAGAATGAGCACCGGAGATGGACAGTGCCCAGTTTGCAGGCCTACATTGTGACTCTGTATAGTAAGGTAAAGGGTAAAGAATAGTGTGGCCGATGAGTGAATTTTGAGCCTCGGCTACGGAAGTGCGCATACTCCGCGCGTCCTCCGAATGCAACACATCCACAACACTCCTTACGAAGTAATACTCTTACCGTTATACGATGAACTCGGCCAAGACCAATAAGAATTATTCTGACCTTTGTTTTCATTGCTAGAAGTGGGCTTCAAATAAAAGCAGTGTTCTTAAGCACCTGGCATAGGAATAGACAGAGCCTCTTCTTGCGCCCGATCACCTTATGCAATACAAGCCAAACCCATCGACTTCCAGTGCCTCCCCAGAGCGAAAATGTTCTCCTAAATCTGCCGTTTCCGTCTTCTTTAAATTCATGAAGCGGAACTCTAAATTAGCTCGCTGGCTGGTAAGTCTTCCGCTAAGATGTACATGTACAAAGCAACAAAATCGCGCTGATCGTTTAAGTCCCTTATCAGGTCGACTGTGGATAGAGCTACCAGAGCAGCGTTGCAGTGAGTCCCGAGATTGGGTTGTATGACGGTTGCAGGAACTGTACAAGCAGTTTGTATCATGATTTCGACCACTGTGGTTCATTGTGTGCCGGCGCAATAAATCATAGACCAACGACGTAGACACTTAGCCGCAGCCGGACTATGCCTATAGCCATGACTGCTGAGGGTGAGTCATTTGTCGCCGAATCGTCGAATATGCGAGGGATCAATAATGGACCTCCTCTCCGACACAGATCAATGATTTAGCGTCATTGATGCGCACTGTGGGCCCTGGCGAGCGATCTCCAGGATCCATACCAACGTGCAAGACGCTGAACTCACCTCCATATATCATGCGGTAGTCACAGTATCCTGCTTAGTGGTGAAGTTGACGACATCGAAGCCAGCACCGTACTGTGCCTGCCAATCGAAATCATAGCTCTGATGATTTTCTTGCCCAAATGCTCGAATCAACCTCTCGCCCTCCTCTTCTGCCTCTTCTCCCTGTAAAATGCTCCTGGCGCCTTCAACCGACTTGCTAGTAGCACCTTGTCCCCAAATGGTCCCATGTTTGGGATTGATGAATGTGCCAATGTGCCTGAAGGTCAATGAGATTCTCTCCTCGTTGAAAGCAAGCTCTTCTGCTGTCTTTTCAGACACTGGCCTTCTATCAGCTCGGATGGCGTGCAACCAATTCCGATTGGTATCCTGACCGAGGATGAAGAGCGAGTTGTGAGGTAGAGGTATACGTTGTGCTGTCCTCTTCACATCAGCGTGGAGATGTGGACTTGATGCTGGTGCAGATGCCCGACGTGACTGATTCAGGGCTTGAGTGGTAGGAGCTGACTTCTTTGTTCGCAGCGTCATTGTACGCTTTGCACCCAGACTGACGTTCACAATAAATGATCCATGCACAATGTCGAGAGTCTTATCTGAGTGTTCTGAGATGTTGTCTTCGCCACACCGATACAACTGAATTAGAACGTGGTTGACTGGATGACCAATGGCCTTCTCGACTTCTTCTCGAATATTTTGAACAACGGGAGAAAAGGGCAAAAGGGGTGGAGACTCGTCGGCCGGGTGTCTATATATTGGTATTGAGCCATCCTCTCGGGCTTCGCCTTGGGCTGCGACAAGTCGCGGCACTTTACCCGAGCGATGATACATCTCCTGCCAATGCACCTCGCATGACTCACCATCTTTTCTAAGTCCGGCGAAAGCATCTTTGAAGTGCTCCACTGCAGGTAGAAAATCGTAAATGACACGGGAATCCCTTTCTCCTATGAAGTCGCCCGGACCTAGTACTTTGGGACTGGGTTGTGTCGACCGTTCAGCTCCGCGTAAAGTTCTCCCGAATGCCTTAGCCTTATCAACAAGCGAAGACATTTCATCTAAAAGGGAGCGATCCGGATCCGAATCTGCTTCGATGATGGCCAAGGAGGATGGTGGGGTTATCTGGTTCCTCCGCGGGTCGTCGACACCCACCTTTTCAGCTGTGGCTGGTGAGGCTGACTCCTTCGCTTCCGGTGTCATGTGCATGCGCCGCATACGGATCCGGCTTGTCTTGGCACTCTGTGGTGGGCGCGATATCGATTCTACAGGCTCTTCTTCATTGTCAATTGTATCACTGGATCTCTTCTGTGATGCAGGAACGGGCGATGGTCGCATCTCTTGCCTTTTAGCATGTGAAACGTTCAATCCAGCCCCGTTGCCCAAGCTTCGCCTTTTGGCAGAGCCCGCCTTGAATGTATCAACTCCCTCTGAGTCGGGGCATGCCTCATGATTTGCTTTACCGTCGTTCACGTCGTCCATCCATCTCTTGATCTTCACCCTCACTGTGTAATTCTCTGAGCTGTCATTACCGTCTACCTGCCGTGTGCCAATGGCGCTGTTGAAGGTTGATGGAGTCACGACGTCTCCAAGGTTTCCATGGAGATCATCCATCAATTCTTGATAATCAGTACCATTGACTCCCATTGTATCTGCCATCTGCCTCATGGCCTCTTCATGACATTTTGGATTTCGATAACCTACGCAGTCTTCAATGACTGTCACCTCCAGGCCATGGCTCACAGCGTCAAGAGCAGTTGCGTAGACAGAGACGTTCGAAAGTGAACCACATAGGTACAGTTGGGTGATAAACCTCATCCTCAAAATTGGGAGAAGCGATTTGGATTGGAATGCAGAGTAGCAAGTTTTTGTAATCGTTGAATCTCTCTTTTGGTCAATGGCCGAAGCAATCATCCGTGGAGCAGCGCAGCCAAAAGTGTTTGGCAAGCAACAACGAGGCCAGTCCGCTTTTGACCTCTCTGCAAGGAAAGCCTCTGGGTCATCCTTGCCAAAGTCCTTCACTGGGCGCTTAAAGTCATGCTCGGGCAGCTCAGCCTTGTGAGATGGGTTCGCTTCCCTGCTTTTGGCTGTCCCTAAGAAGTCTTCCAGCACAATCGCGTAAGTTTGTGAAACTGGACATATTGTGGGTCGAGTTTCTTGAAACTCTGTGTGAACCCAGAAAATGTCTCCTTCCTCCCTGAATTTCGTAACAAGGCTTGGGATTTTGGGCAAGAAATCCTTCACATTCTTGACAAAAAGCTTGCCATCTTCGTGCAGGAAATCATTTTGCAAGTCAATTACTAGCAACGCCTTGCGAGTTTCCAAGCGAGGTACATTGGGCATGGAACCCTTCGCAAATAACATGGCGATTCGGATAAGATGGCAAAGATCAAAGTACATGTACAGCGCATATTACATGTGGCAGTGTACGCATCGACATTGAAGCCATCGAGATCACGACTGATCGAAAATCTGACATTCAGTAGAAACCCGACCTTTGCCAATATGTATCGGTCACATGGGACTTTGACTGAAAGGGCTCATGATGGTGGTCGATATGGAGACCTCCAGATGCTAATTGCTGGATGGCGAAGAGGGCTTCCAGAAGTAGAAAGCAAAACTAGAGCATGGGAAAATGAGAAGTTGTGCGACGGAGTGGCACGGCACCGCTTGTAATTTGGGAGTAAGGATGCAGCATGCAATGCAGTATGTGAGTCGGCACATCGAAGTGGTTCTCCAGAGTCAGGTGCAACGCTGGCGACCGAATTCTGCGTGCATGCAGCAGAACCTTAGGCGTAGGCTTTATGGCCCTGGTTATTTTCTCGAGTGGCTCGCTGGATGCATCGCGCGGAAGTGGCAGTCCGATGATTAGAGACAAGCCACATAACCCTGGGATTCCCCACCAGAAGCTTCACTACCCATTCGGAGGCACGATATACCCTTGTCTTGTACTTAGGTTCACAGTAGTACGGTGTAAGTAGGTGGGTCGCGCGCTGAAGCATGGTAGGGTCGAAGGAAGGTTTGATTATCACGTTTCTCAGCGAAATATCGATGAGCAAAAGAGCACACCCAGAAGCGAGTCTAAGCGATTGATAGTGATTTCAACCAGGCCAATCTAAGCTATTTTGAGGCTCGACATTATTGGAACACTGTTAGGAGGCATGTTTCGTGCTTACGGTAGGTACTCAAGTATTCCTGGGATCTCTACATTTAATCTTTGTTCCAAGGAGCGAAATTGCTACCCGAAGACAGGGGGATTGCGACGCGTAGTACTGACTTAATACGCATAGTAAGCTACAGTAGTACAACAAAACCAGGCTTTGTTGATCTTGCTTCAAATCTCGGCAGATAATTAATGGTAAAAGGACATGGGTGCAATCCGTTGTTCCATAAGAAGGGTGTGTATACGCTCTGATGACTGTAGAACCAGTATGGTCGAAAAGAATAAGGATAGATCTATATAGATCAGGTTTGATAGCTAGACGAGTCACCTTATCGACTGGGTTGCTAAGATGGAGATAATCCGCAACGCAACACGATATCCACCACCAGGCCGTGCTTATTTAGATACCTGGCTTTGTGGAAGGGTGTTCTTTTGAACTGGACAAGGCAGCGACAGCAATCATTCTCCCATCCTTCTTGCCAATAGAACCAAAGTCGAAGCAGGCTCTCCAATACCTAACATCTTGTTTCAAGTCAACACGTTTTTCAGCCTCCAGTGCCAGACGTGCCTCTAATCTGCTAGCCAGGACGGAATGTCCTCTCAACCGAGGACTGGACATTTTGCTTTCGGCCTGAAGTGTGTAATAATGGTATTAAAGCAGCTCTCAGAACGGCTGAGAACGGATAAGAAAGTTGAGCTTCGTGGCAAACACTAATGCTGTTAGATATTGTCCTTCATATACGACGCGACAGGCATACCGTGAACATGGGTTGCTAGCGCGCACTCTTGAAGTAAGGGATCTTCTTCGAGAACCATCCATGAAAAGTATGTCCACTTTCATGCACGTCGGTCAGACCTTGACTGATCGGGTATACCTCAATCAAGGTCACTGTCCTTCTCTTCTGCATCGTCTTCCCCAATCCCCATTGCTGTATCCATTGTCTCCTTCACAAGGCGTTTGATCTCATCGACCTTGTTTTCGCTGACTAGGCAAGTATGGTCATCGATTGGCTCAATGATGTAAATATTCCCAGCCTTCTCATTGATCGACTTCAGTACCGCCATTTGTGGCGGATCACACTGTAGGAGTGCCCCCTTCGCGGCTGTCGGCATTGTTTTGTGGGTTCCTGCGCATATCAAGGATCTAGAGACGAGAGCAAAGGATTTTAGACAGCGCACTGGAGGTGGCGAGACGGTAAGCCGACGATTGGATGGACAATAATGAAAATCTTTAGGCGATGATCAATTATCACCGGCGTGAATACTCTCTTGTGGGGTAGGCGGCTACGGGCGCAGGAGGCGCAGCCCTTTTCGCACTTCGTTCGTGGCTCTTGTCCCAGTGGCTAGTTACCGGTACTTGACCAACGATTCGCTTCTAGAAGGCTGTGGCGGAGACCCTATCGTCCAGTACAGCGAAGAATGGTCCTGCCAACGCATGGTTGCGCAAGCAGAGTCTCTTGGCATCATCATCACTGGGCGAGAGTCCAGAAAGGGAAAACACGTCTTATGATATGGTCACGTCTGAGCCTGCCTTCACTGGCCATGCTCACATTTAAGATGGCGTTCGAACATATTCCTGCAGATCCGCATTTGTGCCATCAAGGAAGGCCATTACAGAGCATTTCCTCTTCTTCGAGTAGCTATGATTGTGCTTCGAGTCTGGCTTACGGCTATCGTGCTTGCCCTCTCCAACTGGCTGGCTACGGCAATTGTCCTTGATGTTGATGATCCCAGTGAGTACAAGATTTCAGCGGTCTATCCCAGCCGCTGTTTAAATTGCCTCGCCGCATGTGTTGATGCCAAGGTCCCCCAGAATCAATTCGTGATGCTGCTGCCACTGTCGCACATGGCGTGCAAGCCCTATACAATGGCAACAAGACTGGCGGTGTTTTAGGCAAATGGCCATTTCCACCTTACTACTGGTGGGAGTCTGGTGCAAGTTGGGGCGGCATGGTCAACTACTGGCATTTTACTGGAGACAATAGCTATGTCAACGTTACCTATGAAGCCCTTGTCTCTCAGATCGGACCCACCAACGATTTCATGCTTCCGCAAGAAAAGTTCAACACAGTACATATACTTCACAAAACGGGACTCAGCACTATTGCTAATTTGTTCGCAGGGTAACGATGACCAGGCGTTTTGGGCATTCGCTGCGATGTCTGCTGCAGAGTTTGGCTTTCCTCAACCACCAGATCCGTACCCTTCCTGGCGACAAATCTGTGACAACGTCTTCAATGGTTATGTGCAGCGCTGGAACTTCGACTCTGAAACATGTGGTGGTGGTCTCCGCTGGCAATTCATACCAGAAAATGCCGGTCACGATTACAAAAACTCTATCTCCAATGGTGGCTTTTTCCAGCTTGCTGCTCGGTTGGCACGAATGACAGGAAACCAGACTTACGTCGATTGGGCTGAAAAGGTTTGGGATTGGACAACTGCAATCGGCTTGGTGGACAACATGTACAATGTCTTCGACGGTACCGACCTCAAGATCAATTGCACTCAAATTAACCATCATCAGTGGACATACAATGTTGCCATATATCTATACGGCGCAGCAGTCATGCAGAATTACACTAACGCTACCGAAAAATGGGTCGCACGAACCACGGGTCTGCTCGATGCCACATCCACTTTCTTCTCGCCATTTCCCAATGCTACCGACATCATGTTCGAGGCAATGTGCGAGAAGAGCTCCACCTGTAACGTGGACCAGCACAGCATGAAGGCATACCTAGCCCGATGGCTCGCAGGCACATCTCTCCTAGCTCCGAATACAGCGGGCCGAATTGGCCAGCTGTTGCGTGTCTCAGCCATCGGAGCATCTAATGCTTGCACTGCTGGCGAATTCGGTAACACTTGTGGAGCAAAATGGTACATTGGTGGCTGGGATGGGACGAGTGGGCTTGGTCAGCAACTCAGCGCAATGGAAATATTCTACGGTCTACTCGTCAACAGCACAAGACCGCCATCCGTGCTTAACTCAGTCAGAATTCGTGATGCCCCGCCCAACATCCCTATGGTGTTGCCTGACCCAGCAGCCAGCAATGCCCGGGCCCTCTACGATGGAGTGGGTCAAGTATCGGTGGCGTACAGTTTAATATTTGGTATTGCAACGGGTGCGATCATTCTGATTATGGATGCTCTATGAACGAGTATTTTGCTATCTGTTGGCAGTTAGAGATCCGATAGATCTCTAGAAGTGAGCGTGTGGCCAAAGCTTATGGCGTGAGATCGGGACAGGTTATATTTCATGTGATAAAGTCTAGTGAATACTGATTGGTACTTAGAACCCATACATAGATGACATGGTATTTATCCAAGACTCGGGACCTGACGTAGCTTTGTCCTTGTTGATCAAGTCACCATCGAAGATACAATAAGTAGTATTACGTAGTAAGTTCTGGTGCAGAAGCCTGCCAAGGAAAGCTCTGATGAGGCTAGGCCGCTTCTAGCATTTCGCGACAAGAAGGACGCGAGAGCTTCAATTGTCAAGTCGAGAATGGTACCTTGACATGGTCTAGATATGGGCATCATCCTCACTTTGTGGCTACGCAGGTAGTTGCTCCGGATCCCTATATCAGCATTCTACATTTGTGTTCGGTGTAGAGGACTGCTCTCATCAAAATGGACGAAAAAGCAGACCGTTCTCAACCTGAATACTCGCCTAACCCGGCAGAGTCTATTGAAGTCGACGAAGAAATCAAGGAAGATGAGACAGGTGACGGGGTAGACGGTGTATCACGGGAGCTGTACAAGGAGATGCGCTCTATTTGTGATTCCCTCTCGAACCATCGCATAGCCATCAAAGGGGACGAGTGTGTAGAGCGTACCTCGGCCCCAAATATAGCTGATCTTTCTGCACAGAGACTACTACCCTTCTGCCCTTTTCCGCCGCATACCCAATAAGCGAAACCTGCCCGAATACCATACCATCATACCAGAGCCACGGGCTATCAGTACTCTCAAACATAAAATACAAACCAAGAAATACACAAGTTTCGCAGAATACGTTCGGGATTTTGCGCTAATTGTGCACAATGCGCAGGTGTTCAATAGACCCAATTCCGGCCCTGTCAAGGACGTGCTTGTGCTCAAGGCTCTTTTCGAGCAGGAGCTGGCTCGGCTGGTTGAGCGAGGCCTGATTTCCAAAGAGGATACAATCTTTCCAGATCTTGGCGAGATTCCTGATGCTACTCCTGAGCCTGATCCAGTAACCGAGGACGAGGAGGAGGGGGAAGATGATGCGGAAGGAGAAGATGATGATGAAGACGACGAGCCTGATGATTCTGATGAAGAGGGAAAGGGAAGGCGAAGGAGAAGGGGTGGCCGGCAAAGCGGAGCAGGTCGAAAGCGAGACAGATCTGAGGACGCTCAAAAAGGAGGTGATGGTGATGCAAGAAAGAGACGCGGACGTCCTCCTCGGGTAGATACGCCAATGGAGGCTCGCATCAAGTCAGTTTTGAAAGGCATTCGCAAGTTCAGGAGCGATGCCGGACATTTGAAAATCCTTCCATTCGAACGACTGCCAGACAAGACACAAAATCCTGGCTACTACATCGAAATCAAAGAACCTATTGCAGTTGATCTGATCAAGCGTAAGGTGAAGAGGAAGAAGTACCAGTCACTGGAGCATTTTATGAAGGACATGGAGGTGATGTTTAATAATGCGATGCAGTATAACGAAGACGAGAGTGACATCTACAAAGATGCCAAAGAGCTCTGGGAGGAAGCACAGAAAATTGCTGAAGCAGAGAGGCAGAGGCCAGATACCGAATATCTGTTGGAGGATGGCAGGTTACCTTTACCGAATGGCATCCTTCATAACAATGAATTGTGGAAGGTCGGCGACTGGGTCCACATTCAGAATCCTAACGATGTGACAAAGCCAATCGTTGCGCAAATCTACCGGACGTGGCAAGACACGGAGGGCCAGCAATGGGTCAATGCCTGCTGGTATTATCGTCCGGAGCAGACTGTTCATCAGTATGAGAAGCACTTCTATGCGAACGAAGTGGTCAAGACTGGTCAGTACAGAGATCACCACATTGATGAAATAGTTGACCGCTGCTTTGTGATGTTCTTCACCAGGTACAATCGAGGACGACCCCGAGGACTGGATGCAAGCAAAGAAGTATATGTGTGCGAGGCTCGATACAATGAGGAGAAGCATAGGCTCAACAAAATCAAGACCTGGGCAAGTTGTCTTCCAGACGAGGTACGAGAGAAGGACTACGAGATGGATATGTTTGATGCTCCCAAAAGGATCAAGAAGATACCGAGTCCTATCAAACATCTCCTCAAGGATGATGCGAAGGAGACAGATGAGCTCCCATCGCCTCAATGGGGGCGTGAGAATGCTCCTCCCATTGTTGGAGCTGTCCATTGCCAGCCTCGGGATGAAAATGTAAGTAGATCTACTCGCACGGTGTCTTGAGTTGTGTTTTTTCAACGCCAGTCACTGAGACTACACTTAGCAATCGCCGCCACCGGAGCCAACTCCTCCTCCACCACCAACTCCACCTGCGCCTCCACCTCGACAGATATCCAACACTGTTCTTCCACGACAAACATCAAGACCAAGCGTCGACATCCAAGGTGACACTATAATGTCGAATGCTCCTGGCCGCCCTTCCGCGGCGGCTCACGCGACTCCTCAGATGATTCCAGGCAGCGCCTACCACCAAACCTCGGCATCACCTGTACCAGGCATTGGGCGTCCAACCTCTTACCAAAAATCACAAACATCATATGGAGCTAGCGTAGTCCCGCACACTCCATCTCAGCCTCTTGCATACGCCCAGCAACCCCAAGTAACCCCTTCAGCTGCCCATCCAAGCAGCTACAACCCTCCATCAAACGCCCAAACCTTTACCCCACGTGTCCCGCCACCGAATCAGCCTGTCTCATCAGCAACGCAGGGCTACCATCATTCCACTACCCACCATAACCAAGTCTCTCATCGCCACCCTGAAGTCTACGTGATGTCCGATGCAGCCAACGCCTCGATACCCCTGGAAATTCGACAACAATTCCCATGCGATGACAACGGCAGGGTTTTGTGGTTCACTACCCCTCCCCTCAACAACACTGTAACTCCCCTGAACATCGTCTCACCTAGGGATGGGAAGCCCTTGGCGCATACCCCGGAGTATCTGGCCGCGAAGGAAAAGCGAAAGAAGCTGATCGAAGAGAGAAAGAGACAGATCCAGGATAGGTCAACAGCCGCGAACCAAAGTGCCGAAGCAGAAAACCGCACTGAGAACGATGGCCATCCAAGCTCGAAGCGCAGGAGAGTTACAGATGTCGAGGTCGGCACCCTCGTCCTGCAAACTTTGACAGACCGGGTTCTCGATGCGAACAAGGAGTGGTATAAGTCTCAATACGGAGACTGTGCCGAAGAGGCGGAAGCATTCGATGCTGTAAGGGCGGAGGAGAGGAGAATGGAGGTGGAAGCCAAGAAGGCGTATTTTGAAGAGAGGAGGAAAGTGGCGGAGGAAAGAAAGGAGAAGGAGAAGGCAATGGAGGGAAAGGTTTTTAGGGATGACTGGGATGAGAGGCATTGATTCAGCATGCGCATGTATCGAACGAGCAAGGGAGACGCAGATTTTGATCAGGCAGGAGTCTTAGACCGCATGCTCATGTGGACGATGATTTCAAATCACGACAGGTGTACTCCTTGCACGTCGGCCACAGCATAGCATAGCATGATGATGTCTTGTCTTGTCTTCGTTTGCGTTTCGCTCAAAAAGGTCAAGCCAGGAGCATGCTCATAGACTTTGACTAGTCAATCTTAATCACGACAGATGATGGCTAGTCAGGTAATAGAATTCTTACTGAAGCGAAGAGAAACATCTGGAATGTCTCCTGTGAACTGCCCAGTATCACCTGCGTGTACATTTCCATCACTCCCCAATACACAGGTTGTGATGTGATGGAGGAGATGCTCGGCTGCTGAAACATACAAGCACACCAGTTATACGTCTGCTGTATCTTCACGGCTCGGGACCCAGCAGTCAGAACTTTTTCTGCAGCTGAAGCTACTGTGTGAAGATCTGTAAACCAGTCTCTGCGATAGATGTTGGTCCTCCGGTCTGTGCATTTCCAACCTGCCCCAATTAACTAGCCCCCCGGGGGCTGATTTCCTCTGTTCTTCTCTACCACTCAATTCCTGGGACACACACGGTACTAAGTGTGCACTTGGAGACAGTATGGAAAGAGGACACTGCAACCGAAGCCCACTGTAACATCAATCGAGGGATAATCTTCTCTCCGTAAGTCTGCATTAAATTCTCTTGCGGGCTTAATTTAACAGCTCTGGCTGATGGTGTTCAATAATCTTGTACAACCTGAGTCCTGGTATGGCCTTTGTGAGTAAAACTGATGCTGGCAGTACTGCTTAGGCTGCTGAAGCTGACGTCGATGTGTAGCCTTTCCACCAAGAGCCAACTCGCGGAACAGCTCACCTGGTGTGGAAGATGAGGACGAGAACTCCCATGTCGACAACTATCTTCGAGAACTCACAAATCCGGGTTCTCCGAATATCGAGTAAGTTGTGACACTGCTGCTTGGAAGAGAAGTACTGATCACATTCAGCATTGTTGCCATCCACGGTCTCAATCCAGGGAAAGCCAACCATGGCGAGCGCACATGGAGCAAGAACAAATTCTTGTGGCTTCAAGATGAGAAATTCCTGCCGGGCCATTTCCAACTGCCAGAATCCTGCTCTTCGGTTATAACTCAAGAGTAGCCACTGGGACTTCCAATGCGGGTTTTATGGATATTGCCAAAGCTTTGTTGAACAGGTTGAAAATCAAAAGGAGGGTAAGTCATCGTACCAATAAACAGCCAGTCCTCTAATCCGGTTCAGGATGATCCGCATAAGCCTATCGTGTTCTTGTGTCACAGTCTTGGTGGTATTATCGTCAAGCAGATCTGTAAACATCTCTAACTCTCCCACATCATTCTGACATGTCAAGGTACTTGTCCGAGCTGTGCATGGTACTGCCTACGAATCGATACGCTGGTTGGCAAGAGCCATTGCATTCTTTGGAACGCCACACCCGGGAGGCAATCATGCAGAACTAGGGAGCATCCTTGCTTCCATCGCTCTCTGACTGGAAGCGTCAAGAACAATTTCATGGAGACTTTACCAAAGAATTCGACTGGCGCTGCTGATATTCACGAGCTCGTCAAGGAACAAGCCCAGGAATACCGGATAGTCTCGTTCTATGAGACGTTACCAATCAAGCCTGGCTTCGGTCTGGTAAGTTGTTTAAGCCTTCAGAATTGGATATGAGCTCTTACTGTGTACACAGATCGTGGACAAGGTGTCGGCAACCCTTGGTCTACCCGATCCTCCTGAAATTAGTGTGGCGGTCGCTGCAAATCATAGCGATATTTGCAAATTTGACAGGAGAGATCCCACATATGAACTTGTCATCGAGAACATTGCAGATCTTGTCCAGTACGCTTTACGACCGCCTCGAATTGGTACACCGCTGTTGGCCCCCACAATCTCGTGGATGGATCCTAAGAACAGGCAAAGAACACTTTCGGTTGCGCCCTTCCAGGGTACCGGAAGTTTTGATCTATCTGATTCCGCCACATCTTCATCTAGAAGTAGTGGCCAGTAAGGGATGCCAACGTTTCAGGACGTCGAGTTAGGTAATTCTAACCCGAACACAACTACGGGTAGCACACCCACCTCACCTGTGTTCATCCTACCCTATAGTAGCAATCCAGATTCCATCGGCCGAGACGAAATCTTCAACACTGTTAAAGACTCTTTGGGCTCAACTACCACGGGGCAAAGGAGAGTTGCATTATATGGCCTTGGCGGAATAGGGTAAGATGGTCTGAATCATCATTTTACAGGACATTTTCTGACAAGCGTATAAGAAGTCTCAGATTGCTATAAGATACGCCTACTGGTATCGACAGAAATTTCCAGATCACTCAATCTTCTGGATACACTGTGGCACGGCTGATCGATTTCGGCAAGGACTAATTGATATTGGCACTCAATGTCACGTTGCTGGTATTGACGATCGCAACAACAATCGGCTTCTGCTATTGAAAGACTGGCTTCAACGCAAAACCGACTTCAAATGGCTCATGATACTTGACAATGTAGATGATCCAACCATCTTTCGAGATGCACAAGATCTCGACGAATCAAGCCAACTTCAGCCTAATCTGTCTTCATATATTCCAGATTGTGAGCATGGCTCTATTCTGATCACCACCGAGAGATTTTATCGTAGCAAGGCGGCTAGCCAATGGAAGTTCTCCGTTACGAATCAACAAAATGTCAAGAGAGGAGGCTGTTATGATGCTCAAAACCAGACTATCAACAAGGGTTGAAGCATCGCCTATAACACCAGCTACGCCTGCTTCGTACCAGCAACCCGCCAGTGACACCGACCTTCTTCGACTTCCACAATCTCTCGATTACTTTCCGTTTGCAATGGTGCAGGCCGCAGGGTATATTACGGAAAGTATCATCTCAATTGGCTGCTATATGAAGCTGTTCGAGGACGATGCCTCGGCTCTTTGGCTTCTCAAGCACGAGGTAGAAGAGAGCGGCCGAGATTCAGACATCCCAAGCTCGGTATATGCTACCTGGAAATTATCGATTGAGCAAATCCAAAAAGCGTATCCGAAGTCCGCTGGGTTGATCTTTCTGATGGCACATTATGAGCAATTACAAATACCTGCATCACTACTCCTGCATCATGTGGGTCATGATGTCGTGGAGTTTACCACCATCATTGGGGTCTTATTAAGATTCTCGCTGGTTGTTGGTGGGCGTCATGCGACATATAATATGCACCGGTTAGTTCAGCTCGTTGTGAAGCATTGGTTAGCAGCTTCGGGAACCCCTGCAGAATGGCAAAGCAAAGCGCTTCGCTTATTATCCAGCCACTTTCTCAGTGGTGAGTTCGGGACCTGGAAGGTATGTGCTTCGCTCGAATCACACGCTGTCAAATGGCCAACACGCCCGTGATCAAGGACGCGGACAGATCACTCCTTGGGACATTGCAGGTTAACCTTGCGTGGTACTACTCTAATCGAGGCCGTTGGAGTAGTGCAGAAGAATTTGCCAGAGCTGCTTGCATTGCATTTCAAGAGGACTACGGACTCCGGCACCGCGAGACTCTCGCTGCCAAAACGAAGTTCGCGTACATCCTGAGGCTGAATAGCAAGTTGGAGGAAGCGGAAGTGATCATCAAGCAGACCGTAGACGAGAGTAAAGCACTGCTTGGCTCTGAAGACCAGCAGTACTTCGATGCTTTGGATCTTTTCGCCCATATTGCGCAAATCCGTGGAAGGCTCCCCGTAGCAGAGAAAGCTTCTCGAAAAGCTTTATCTGGACGTGAAAATGTCTTAGGACCCCATCATCCAAGTTTGTTTCGGTCGCAGAGACGTCTTGCAACGATTATGGAGCTTTCAGGAAAATATGACCAAGCGGAAACTTGTATCATGAGCGCCCTGAATGGACATAAACATTTGATTGGCACCGCTGACAAGTCAACTCTGCAGGTCATGCAGCGACTTTTTTACATTCAGCGGGCGCAGGGTAAATACGTTGAGTCGGAGGAGACAGCAGGAGAGTACTTGAAGGTAACGACTGCCACTTATGGTCCCGACCATGTCGACACACAAATAGCGCGATACACCTTCGCACACTCGCTCATTGTAAACAGCAAAATTGAGGAAGCTGAGGCAATCTTCATGAGCTTAATAGAATTCATCGAAAAAGAGCGCTCTATTGGACCAGATCATGAGCACAACTTTAATATACAGAATGCGCTAGGCATTATTCGAATGATACAGGGTAGGTACGCAGAAGCTTCAAGGTTTCAGTATACGGCATGGAACGGAATTCAGAAGACTTTCGGCAAACACCACGCAACAACCTACGAATAACAATCGGCGTACGCTGCAGCCTTAACATTGGCCGACGCATCAGAGTTAGATGGTGCAATGATTCTGCAAAAACAGGCGTATAATGGACTAAAAATTGTTGTGGGCGGGGAGCACCCAAGTACCCTGACGGCACTACTTTGCCTTTCTGAAGCACATGCTATAGAGCGGGAACTGGGTCGTGCGTTAAAGTTGGTAGAGTAGGCTTTGGGAGGAAGGGAAAAGATGCTTAATGTTAATTATCCTGATACATTGGCTGCGAGAAGTGGGTTATCGAACTTCAGACCATGAAGTAAGGGAATATGGGAGCTAATATTGATCTGGATAAGGCTGATAGTGGTTCTTCTGGAAAAAAGCAGAAGAAGAAAAGGTCATTCTTTGGATTGAGGAGTCGAGCGTCGAGCAATGTCACATCTGTCGAAACGGGCTCTCATGCCGATGGCGCCTCCACCGAAAAAAAGAAGACTGCTCATGTCGCTGCAGAAGAGCTGGAGAAGACTGACTCGTATGATTCGACCAAAGGGGAACGGAAGTCGAGCTTAGGACTGTTTGGGAGGTATTTATATAGCGATAATGATGAGAAGATAGAGGACAAGGGAATTGAGTTAAGTATCAAGAGTGATAGCGATGATGACGGAACGGGAGGAAATCTAGACAACCGAAAGTCTGCAGCTTTCACCAATAACACCCTCAGGCTACCGCCATTGCCGCTACGGCCAGCAGTCGACACCCAATCTGATGCGACACCGCAAGACAGTAAGGAACACGACCCCAAGCAGAGCGCTCGTATCGAAATTCCAGGTCAAACGGTCCAACAGGAAGACAACATCGAGTCTACAGGACAACGAATACGACGAAAGCCTATTGGTTTAAGAGCTTCAAGCTATCATGAGCAACGAAATCCTGAGTCAAAGCCAGACGCCAGTAAGCTGCCAGCAGAAAGCCTCATAAATCCGGCTGCGAGACTCGACGGGCCTGGGTGGGACACTTCCCCGTTTGGAGCATGATTCTTGGAACTGTAGCATTTGTAACACATGGCACTAACTGAGGGTTGATCACCAAGTTTGTGAGACGTGGCGAAGAGAGGCCGTGGTTAGGTTGTTCGTACGCGCCGCGAGAGGAACAATACATCTACCACTCCACTAAAAGGACAGTGCTTTTAGGTTTCAAACCTAACTAGTAGTGTATTTAATGGCCGACTCCGTGGGGTGGGGCGTAGGGCGTGATATCACAGCTGAAATACAGAGTCGTGTCTTCAATACGCAGTATTAGTACTGTGCATTGCGAAAGTGTTGCAATTCCTTGGCATTAGAACACCAATCTTGACTGAGTCTTATGTCCTCTTTTAATCGGGCCGTTGCTGAGCATTTTCTTGGCGGCCCAACTTCGGCTCAGCCTCTGCTCATGCACCGCCACAGCTCAGTCTTGATGCTCATCCACGTGCTCAAACTCCATCCAAGCGTTCCTCAGGCTGCTCACCCTCACCTTACCCGCGCTCAGTCCTGTGTTTGGGCCCTTAATATGATTGGATATCAGACCTGGACAATGGCGGTGGCGTGCGTGGATATATCCACCTTTCTGGCGTAGAATCGGCCTATTTTCTAATTCGCCAACAAAACCGCTAGCGTCTACTCAAATTGACATTAGGTTCTGAAATATACTTCTCATTCGATGACGCCTGTTTAAGGTGCGCTTGCGGCTGTAGTAACCAATTGGAAAATAGGCCAATTTTACGCCCGAAAAGAGTTAGTGAGGGGTACATCAATTAAGTGTGGTTTGAAGCCTACTAGCGCTATCCTTTAGCGGAGTGGTTGATGTGTCACTTTTCTAAAGGTGGATACTGGCTGTACCTACTCATAGTGTAGGAACGGAATCATACAAGTAGCCGTATTTTACATCTGGTAGCATTGTCTTAAGCCTTTGCACGACTGGTTACATTTAACCTGATCTTTGCAGCCAAGTTATGCGTAACTTATAAATAATTAATAATATAGAAGTAGTAATTACTTAATACAGGACAAAACAAATTAATAGCTACTAAGAAGCCTATAACTATAAGGTGTATATGCACCATACCGAGCTGTACTACGTTGCGTTCTGCCTTGTCACACGATGTCTGCGCCATCAACCGTCAAGCTAGCTAACTTCTCACACAGTAAACAGCAGCCGTGTGACCAAGTACAATTTTCTGGAGAACGACTATAAAAGAACACATACACCGAGGCGATGAACTCTCAACCTTCATATGAGAGACTGTGAGCTCCTAGCGGCCATAGAGGAGAAGCCCATGGTCTTCTCGTCGTTGGCGTACAGTAACGCCAAAGCTAGCAGATTACAGACAGTATGCCGCCGAGCAGAAAGCGAAAGGCCGCCGAGCATGGGCGGAGCGACATTAAAAGATCTCTTTTCTCAGGCAGGAGGAATCATTCTGTGCGTTCTTCAGAAAACGTGGTTGAGAGTGACGACTGCGCTCCTCGCAGCCAGACTGAGCCCAAAGACTTTGACTACGGCTCGCCACTTCCACGTGGCCAGATAAGACTGCTCAAGCTCCGAAAAGGCAGCAAGGGCGACTCAATCATATGTGACATGCATACTAGGGTAGCCCATGATGTGGATTATTACGCACTATCCTACGCATGGGGTAGCCCGATCATGGACCGATCAATTCTTTGCAACGGCCGGTATCTCTCCATTACCTCTAACTTACATACCATCCTCTGGCATCTCCGTGAGACGCACACTGACGCCTATCTATGGATCGATGCCATTTGCATAAACCAGACAGATACGCAAGAGAAGACAGCCCAGGTCCGTATGATGTCTGTAATCTATCGCAATGCGCGTATGGTCATCGTCTGGCTGAGCGAAGGTGTTCCATCCACGGCTGCTGGCATCGAGCTTCTGTCACTGCTCTGCAACATCTTCCCCTCTGGCAATGGAGAGGACATTAGGAATCTCTACCTCGACTTTCCTTCGCTTCCAAATCCAACAGACTCTGCCTCTTTCGTGGCATTGGGCCTACCTGACACGACACCGGACTCCGAACCTTGGCAAGCTGTGGGTAAAATACTAGAAGCCTCATGGTTTACAAGACGCTGGGTCCTTCAGGAACTACACAACTCTGGACAATGCTGCTTTCGAATTGGTGCACACCAAGTGACTCCCGAGATTGTCCTTGGTGGTCTATACCGCGTCATGATGTACGACCAGTTCCGTTATGCACTTAATCATGAACAAAGCCGGGTTGATAACCACATTATTCCCATGGTCCAGATGATGCGAGCCGGTTATTCTAAATTCTCCCATGAAGCCCTCTCAGAGCTTCTCCTTTCGACAACACTTTTTAAGTCATCAGATCCTCGCGACCGATTTTTGCGATTATTGGATGCTTCGAAGATCCTCCAAGCCATCGGGTTGACTACGAAAAGAAAATGCCCCAGATACTCATGGACATTGCAACGTCCGAACCTGATCATGAGAAAGGGATCGAAGCACTGTTTCGGGGTTTCTGCTACATTGACACGCTCTGCGATTACCCTGATGTGCCGTCTTGGATCCCAAGTTGGCAAATTTCAAGTCCATACTTTAGTCCGCTAGATAACAAAATGTTCGACGACGGCGTAGATGTCGAGCAGTCTTCGATCATCGTCTCCGGTAAAGTACTGCGATCAGGCGCGATTGTCTTCGACCGCATTGATACCACGGCGGATTTGTGTGTTGGCTTCGAAGTGGTGCGCCCGTGGGCAGGACAGGATCACGCTTCTCAAGAGAAAGAACAAACACTGGCTACGCATACCAGATGCAATTGGCTCATGGAATGCAAAAGTATTGCTCAAGCTGCTGGTGGGGAATCAAACCGAGACCTTGGCCAGTTTCTCGACTGTCTCCTTGACCACAGCTACAGCGAGGATGGACTATCGCGAGATGACATAATCAGATTGTACGAGGGTAACATGCAGACCTTTGCAATGCGTTTCGCACGAGAAGAATGCAGTGAACCTCGCGAGCTGGTCCAGCGATTCAAACATCATTGTTGTAGGTTAGGTGTTGAGGCGCCAGAGTTGCATGGGAAAGCCGACATGTCCCAGATACGCAAGTATCACAACAAGCTAGCCGAGTCAGCGATAGCCTTCAAGGAGTTAACTGCGGCAGTAACGCTGGGCCGTCGATTTTTTGCAAGTAAGGGTGGTAAGATCGGGTGGAGCCCCCAATCAGCTCGGCCAGGCGATGAAATATGTGTGTTCTTTGGCTGTACGATGCCATTCGTTGTTCGGAGGGTCGAAGATCGGACTAAACAGGACAACAGATATCGACTTGTTGGAGCTTGTTACATGGATGGATTCATGGATGGTGAGGTCTTTCTGGACGAGGCATTGGAGCGTACAATTATAGAGCTAATCTGACCCGAATCATATGTCAAACAAGGCACCTACAGCCCTGGAAGGTACAGCTACTGTCAGAGGGCAACCTGGGAGACAGGTGGGCAGTGGAGAGACTTTAAACAAGTAGAGCAGCGCAGCTATGCAAAGCAGGATAGAGACCCACAAACGCATTGCCGCGGTCAACTTACAGCTTGGCTAAAGAATCAGGGAAGAGCTAGAAACGGTGACGGTAACCGTCGATCGGGGTGGCGAGGAGGTAGCAAGAGTACCGTCCATCACGGTTAATGTCGCGGGCGCTGAGCCTCCAGCACGGTAGCTCGAACAGTGGCTGTCATAGAAAGATACGCCAAGGCTGAGGTCGACTGTATTCGTCGTCGTACACTGCTGCGTGATGATGCAGGAGGAGATGGCGCTATGTGCGTCCCCTACGAGGTCGTCTCGACACTGATGCATGGAGATCTAGTCAGGACCAGAAGAGGCGTGATGACTCTGTGATACACATACCAGGCAGTTGTTTTGAGAGCAAGACAATAGGAAAAGTATGTTTCCGTGGCCGCCATTATGAAAGCAGTATTTGGCGCAGTCTCGCAGATTCTGGTATCCTGAAGCAGCCGACATGGTTATGGATTCTGTATCGCCGCCGTGAACCGCGGCTACGAAGAGAGATACGAGATAGAACACCCATATCTTGCCGCCCATGGCTCTTCAGGCTTGTCGGATAACCACTTATTGTAAGGACGCCGGCGCTCGAAGAGAGTCCAATGCGCAAGACACGTTTGGAAACTTGTTACTGTTCGCTTAGTAGTCGGAGAATGCTGCTAGTTGACAGTGGGATGGCTTATATTGCAGAGAAATGCTGGACATGGATGAGAACAGAGCAGCAGCAATAGGAGACGGATGGGCTGCACAGAGCAAGCATGACGGGCACAGTCAAATCTGCCTTGCGGCCTCTGGACTCAGCCTCATTTGATCCCCTGACGCGTCAAAGGGTCACGCCACAAGACAATCAGTTTAGGATAGTTACTTACTATAGCTAAGAACAGCTAGTTCTTACTGTGCGTTGCGAAGCTCTTGCAAATCCTTGGAGCGGCCCTCGAATTGCTGGCTCCGCGGAGCGGAATTGCTGTGAGGGCATAGAATGGCCATTTACTACTTAATTATCGTACTAGAATGCCCAAAATTGTCCGAATAGTAAACAGACTCTCTTGTGACTTTGCCTTTGAAACTTTGAGATAGAAAATTATGGTGTTGAATTGTAAGAAGCGTTTTAACATAGGGAGAGCTTTAGCAGTATGTATAGGAAGAAAGGGTGGGAATGCAAAACTACGGAGGATCCACAGGCATACCCAGGAGGTTGTATTGTGTAGAAACTAAGCTAGAAAGCAATCTCGGAGCTGGGTTTTATCCCCTGTGTCCCTGAATATGTTGATGAGGTGCAGTGGATGAACTGAATTATCTAAACTTGAATTCTTTGCGCCAAACGTTATCGGCGCTACTACAGACCTCTATCCTCCCACCACCCTCCAACTTCCTCCCCTTCTACAACAAACTTCCTCATAAAGTATATTGTTAATCATGAGTAAGCGACATGCTCCTTGGATCAAATGATGAGTTCTCCGCCAAATATAACCTTAACGCCTCCAATTCGAATTCTCCTTCGAATTGCTCCACACCAACTTGACCGGTTGAATGGCACGTATCAAGCAGACGCAAGACTGATTCAAATGTTTTCCAACACATTGTGATATTGCGAAAGTACAACATATAGTGACAAGAATCGGAAAACGTGGTCTGATTTTGTTTGAGTACGACGTACCTGACGATAATTACCACCCTAGAATGGCCGTGTTCCTCATCGATTTAATAGTTACCGCCCCGCTCAGTCGACCTATCGATCGAGGAATTTGAAGCCCCAAAGCAAAACGTTAATAACCTTGTGTATACGTGGAAAAATCAGAGTGCCATTCTCCCTCGCCGAACAGACCTTCGGGTGGAACAAGACTGTTGTGGAAATGCAAGGAGCTGAATTCATGGTGGAATTGATCGATATAAGGCAAAAGTGACACATTCGATTTCCTGAATCTCAGCAGGCAGTACTGAGTCGGTTGCTGTTTTGCGGCTCATGAATGAACCTAAGTAACAGAAGATAAGAATCCACTTTTGGTCGGGAATAGTTCAACAATATAAAAAGGTCAACCACTAACGATCTCCTCAGTCTGGTAATTAATCTTACTTGCTGTAAGCGCGGCTCATAGTTACTGTTAATTTACAGCAACTACTTGAGACATTACGAGCTCTTTAACGAAACTTGCAGTTTTTGGGGCGAAAAATTGTAGGTAGGCCAGAGACCTTTCAGTAAGATATTTGCACTGGTAAACATGTAATCAATAACACTATGTGTCTTGTGTTTCAACAATTCTCTTCAGTTTGCAGCTGTCTCGACGCAAATGACTGGCACCCTCGCGGACAAAATTGCACCGGCACCAATATCCAATGGCTGAGAGGCGCAGATACCCCTGGGAAATGTCCAGACTCCAGAATGTGCATATCCTACCCCGAACTCTATGCGGATTAGAAGCTCCAGAATATCTGCATTTACAAATGGCGCGTTGCGGGCTGGTCAAGGCCAATATGCAGATGATGCTCAATCCGACATGGAGTCGACCATTGTGATGCTGGGAGAATGTGAGAATGTACCCCACTTTTGTGAGATACTGCCTCGTAGCGACCTCCAGAGAATGGGTGCCTGTGGGCAAATCTGGCCGAAACAAAGCTCTATGAGAGCTATCGCAAGCGCAAACAAGCCTTCGCTGCGAATGACGTGACCTGTCAGTGTTGTGGCGTTGTCTGCCAATGCTATGGGTGCTCGGACTGGTGGTATACCGGGAAGAGAGAGATAATAGATCATCATTTCCAGTTTGGTGGTTGAAAGCTGGATATATGCCAAGTGGACTCAGTTCCTTCACAATCCATGATAGAAGACTAAACGTTCGAGACGAGATTGCCTTCTTCTCCCAAAGGTGGTCGCCTAACTATCCACCGTATCTTAATGTAAGTCTCGCCACTGGCTTGAGAAGAAACCCACTGACAAAAACTGGTTCACTTTCTTTTGCAACGCTAATCTGTCACTCATCGGACTTGTTGGACGCATGCGATACCCATCGAACTGTGTTCAGTCATCCTTGATCTCTGCACTGTCAGGAGGTCTCGTAAGCTAGTAGCCTTTAGCACCCCCGGCCTTTCGCTGCTCTCGAAATCGTGTCTTCAACAGCTGCGCGATGTTCTTACGGCCTCTTCTGGATGCTTCCCGAATTGCGCGGATTTCAATCTCAACGCCATGATCTAACAGCGCCCGGACTACCTTCTCATCTCCATGTTTTGATGCCCTAAGCACTGTATTATTGTCAATCTCAGCGCCCATGTTGAGCAGTACTTGCATGATCTTCTCCGGACCAGAATGTCTAGGCGCCGAAAACGCACAAAAACCGCTTAGCGCAGCGGCAACGTCACCACCTCTATCCAACAGCAATTGAACCACCTTCTCATGGCCATACAGCGATGCCAGGTGCACTGCCACTTCGTCATTCTTCGCCCCCCTGTCCAAAAGTAACTGCACGACCTTCTCATAGCCTCCTTGCGACGCCTCCACCAAGGCGGTATTCGACAATCCCATCTGGATATTGATGTCAGCACCTCTATCTAGCAGCAATCGTACTACCTCCTCATGACCATCACGTGATGCCCACTGCAGCGCGGTACGGCTTTCTCCGCTGGTGTTGACGTCTACCCCATTATCCAGCAGTAGCTGTACCACCTTCTTATGGCCTTTTTTCGATGCTATCATTAGTCCGGCACCCCTAACCTCAGCATCAGCTCCTTTATCCAACATGAATTGTACCATCTTTTCATGGCCTTCGTATGACGCTGCTAAGAACGCATCACTTTCACTGTGGATGCTCTCCTTGAGAAGTTGTGCTATTTGATCATGATCTCCCGCCACTGCGGTCATTATTGCGCGGACGCTGAACCCAGCTCCATGACTTGGCAAGATTCGCCCTGTCTCTTCAAAACCATTCCCTTCGGGAAGGAATAACAGATCATGGAACCTGCCCTTCCCTCTGGCGTTGACGTCAGTGCCACTCTTTAGCAAGATCCGCACTATCTTCTCGTAACCTTTAGTGATTGCAGCCTGTAGGGCATTGCCATAATATCCTCCTTCAGCGTTAATATTAGCGCCTCTCTCTAGCAGAAGTTGCACCATCATCTCATGACCGTTATCGGCTGCAGCCTGTAGGGCAGTACCATAATATCCTCCTTCAGCGTTAATATTAGCGCCTCTCTCTAGCAGAAGTTGCACCATCATCTCATGACCACTATAGGCTGCGGCTTGTAGGGCAGTGCCATAACATCCTCCTTCAGCGTTAACATTGGCGCCTCTCTCTAGCAGAAATTGGACCATCATCTCATGACCACTATCGGCTGCAGCCTGTAGGGCAGTACCATAATATCCTCCTTCAGCGTTAATAACGGCGCCTCTCTCTAGCAAAAGTTGCACTATCATCTCATGACCATTATAGGCTGCGACCTGTAGCGCATTGCTATAGAGTCCTCCTTCAGCGTTAACATTAGCGCCTCTCTCTAGTAGAAGTTGCACTATCTGTTTGTGGCCTCTTTCTGATGCTGCATATAAGGCGGTACCACCTTGTGAATCTGTGGCGTCGATATCAGCGCCCGCATTTAGCAGGTTATGCACTACTTTCTCGTGACCGCTAGACGACGCAAAACATAACGCACTTCCTCTATAGCATTCGGGACCGGCATTAGGGTCGGCCCCTTTTTCCAAGAGTAATTGCACTACCTGCTCGTTACCATCAGCTGATGCTGCGTTTAATGCACTTCCGTAGACAGTCCATTCATGCCTGGCGTTGATAGTGTTTCTTAGCGACTCAATTTCCAATAGTGCTTGAAGAGGTCGATATAGTCCTAACCGGGATGCATAGTAGATAGGTGATGCAACCTTTTTCTCGATACCCCAGTCGCTCACTCCCGTCTGGCGAACATACAACCTAATCCAGTTTTCAAAGTTATGCTCGGATTGTAAGACGTTTATAGCCAAGGAGTTGAGTGAGTTGGATTCCCTATCCCCTTTCAATGAATGCTCGGCCCAGTATCTTGTTGCATACGAAGTCAGTGGATGCGCATGCAGGGCTGTTAATTGAGCATGCTGTAGGTAGACGAGACATGTTTCGGCTAATTCTGTATTGGCTGCGTGGCTGCGAAGAGCAAAATTTGCCTGTTGTGACCGAATGCGATCAGATTCTAGATATTCTCGGACTGAGAAATGAGCAATGCGAAGGAGCCGAGCCTGCAAAGGCCATTCCGAATCAAGCCCTGCATTATCGGGATCAAAAAATCCCTCTTCCTCATGAGTGGTCATGCTGATTAGTCCTGGGCACATTCGGACAATATCATCTGGATCCTCAATCAAGCGTTCGCTACACAGTCTTGGATTCTCTCCTAGCTCAACCGTGAGTGCTTCAATAACCTCTTGCACGGCTAATGGACGCGATGAAAAACAAAGCCAAGTCAAAATTCGCCTTGCATCTCCCACAAGGACGGGATCGATATTAGCAAGCATTCTGTTGTAAGTCTCGTCTAGCGTGCGAGGTAAGGAATTAAGTGTATTCCTTAGATGGTGCAGACTGGAGGGACAAGATGCTAAAGATATGATTTGACAATCGACCCAGCGAAATCTAGTATGTGCATCAGCAGGGTACCTTGCAAATCTTCTAGAAGGTTATATTCTTACATTCTGTCTGCTCTCTCAATGAGTACATCTTCGATTTCAGCAAAATGAGGCGCGAATTTCTGAAGCCGGCGATCAGATCGAAGTTTCTGACGGACGTAATCAGCGATGTCTTGATCAACCTCGTTTCTTTCCAGACATATTTCTTCATCTATTTGCGGATTCAGCTCTGTACGGATATCAGGCTCATCGCGGCTAGCAATAAAAAGATGAAGCCCTGAGAGGTGCCAGCCACGAATCTGAGACAGTGTATCCAAAACAGCATCTCTCTGCTCTCCCTGATGGCTTTCATCCAGTGCATCTATCACAAGATAAACGTCTTCGAACTTGGTGACAACTTGTCGGACAGCATTCTCTAGATCAGATATTGATGGTTCATCGTTTTTGAAGGAATCATATAACTGCAAAAGCGCAGTAGGCATGTCAGGAAGTTGACTTGACAGTTGCTGGAGTAATGTGCGCAATAGTCCTGACACATTTTGCGTAGAATGATCCGTGAAACTAAAATAATGAAAGATAATGCCAATCCGAGGGTTGTTTCGACGATACTGAATAGTATGTTGTATAATCATCGAGCTAAGGATAGTTTTACCACAGCCGGGACGGCCATTCATCCAAAGAAAGGAATTATCATCTTTCAACCACTTTTGGAATACTCGGTCGTTGATAAGCCAAAGCCCTGTGCTTGAATGTCTTCTTTTGCAACCTTCGCTGTAGGCATCAATATGATCAGGGGCCTTAAGCCAATTTTGAATTGCATCCGAAATCTGTGTTGTTCGTATGAGAGTGATATTTGTCTTTACATCGATCATGTCATGTTGTATTTCATCAACGCACTTGAGCTGTAAGACATCGAGGGCGACTTTAAGATCGTCCCTGAGTTCGTTTACGTCCTCATTAAGCTTCTGAAGAGTGCTTTCTCGAAATGGATAAGCCAGTTTCCGGCCAGCCCGCTTGACGGCAGCTTGAATCCCCTTGTCAGGGGCATTCCGGCACTTTTCGAGCTCACTTTGAAGCTCTTCAATTACATCTCTGCAGCATTCAATGCATTCCTCGATCTTTTGTCGCTGATCTGTCTCGCTAGCTTTGAATTGCCGATCCTGTAATCCCTTTTCAAGCTGTTCGAGCGTTTTGAGGAGGCCATCAAGCCGATGAATAGTCCTCGCAACAATGACGTCCTTATGTTTATAGACCGTATAAAAGTCGTACAATCCCTTAAAGATTTGAATTCCCAGAGAAATTAGCCCTGCCGTACCGGCAGCTATGCCAAGTGGATCTCCCATTTTTAATTCGATGGAAACGCCGGCGATGAAGGCTTCGCTAAGCTTTATCCAGCTGGTGGAGGTCTCGCAAGATGTGGTATCGAGTAAGTTAAAGTTCTGGGGAAAGGTAGCTGGGAAAAGATGCTTTGAGGAGGCAAATACTGAGGAATGTGCTGATGAGGTAGAAGCGATCAGGCTGAGCCTTGGTGGTAAAGAGAGTGGGCGAGCGGGCTGGGCTTCGGCCCGAGGACCGGAGACCGGAGACCGGAGACCGGAATGTTCCGCTCACAGCCCCTCCCCCTATTTTATGAGGCTCCACCACCTAATTATGGGCCCGAAGCTTGGCGCCAAAATTTACGGGAGTTCTCAGATTCCTGCTATGCTACACGCCCCTTTAATAGGGGATAGGACGCCCATTTCGCTCATTTAGGGCAGCTACTCTATCTGGCATTGTTGAGATAGCCCTATTAAACTCATCCAGAGTTGTTTTATCCCACTCCTCCTGGATAGCCCTCCG